GTTGCACAATGGGCTGCGGGCTTGCTGGCTCAGCAGTTTACTGCTCCAGTGGGCGAGTGTGGCGCGAGCCCCGCCAGTCCCGCAGCGGTTCCTCCCTCATCAATCTCAAGAACCAATGTATCAATGCTCTGCCACGCCAAGTGCTCAATGCTCAGATCGAACTGATCCGGCGTGTTGCAACTGGTCAAGTGCTCCCCCTTGCCGCCCAAGCACCGTCTGTGTTCCTGTGCTAAGTAGGAGACTGGCCGCTGCACCGTTCAAACATTGAACGGTGGCCGTTTGCGTTTGCTTTTGCGTTTGGCTGCTGGCTGCTGGCCGCCGCCTTGCCTTGCTCTCCCTTGCCTAGCCTTCGTCGGTCCTCGCCGTGGTTCCGTCGTCCCAGTTGCCAGTCCCCAAGCCCAAAGTCTCAATTCCACCGTGCCTTGACTTGTCCACAATTCCACAGCGCCCACGCCCCTGGCCGCCTCTACCCGTCCGCCCCGGTTCCCATTCCTCCCATTGAATGTTGCCCCAGCCGTTGCTGCTTCACCTCCTACCCACCCTCTTCTACCCTCCTTTCCCTCCTTCTTTATCACCTCCCTCCTCGCCCTCCCGACCCGTCAATCGCGCTCCCAGGCGACGTCGTCTTCGTCCCCTTGCGATCCCCGACAACCTTGCGCTGCCGCCGCGCGTTCAATCCTTTTACCTCCTCTCCACGAGAATCCGTTCGAATCTGCGACGGCAAAGGGCGGCAAATGCACGTTGAGGACTGATCGTCGTCTTCAACACCACCCAAGGCCCTTGCCCTCGCGCCCAACGCCGTCACAGACGTACTCAACGATCTCGCTTATTTTGAATGTTTGAACGAATTTAATATCGTCTAGTCGCTCATTTCTACGCTACTGTCCATCGTTATTGCTTAATCGCCAAATTTATATATATATATATATCCCTACAACCGAAAATAAACGTAAGTGGGCCTTGCAGAGCGCAATTTTGATGTAAATCAGCTTCATGTCATGGCTGCTTTGGCTTGGCCTGTTGTACGACCTGCCCTCATTGATGGCTGCCGCCAGCCATGTCAACACCCCGGAGCTGAAGCAAGACATGACCTACTGTCAATCAAATGGTAGCTGACGACAATCTTAGATTACACTCGTTGACACTATCGTCAAGTACATTCGTTCTATCCGTTCCTGACAGTAAGCATTTCGTGTAACAGACTCTTACCAAATCTCCTATCGGAACTCGTCACTCATATTCGGGTCAGCACTTCTGCTCCACGTAAATACTACTTGTCCCAGCACATTTGATCGAAGCAATTGTCGATTATCCGCTACGTCTTGCAATCATGTATGCCAAATCACTAGCCTTGGCCTCGGCCGTGGCTTTGGCTGCTTCTGTCGTCGCTGCCCAGCCAGAGCACCCACGCATCTACTTTCCACGAGAGATCAAGCGAGAGTACCACAACTCTACCATCACGAGTAAGGTTTCGTCATCCACGCCTCATGTCACGACGACGACGACGACGACCTCTTCATCTTCGACCAGGCGGGATTTGTTAAGCGACCTCATCTCCGAGATTCTTGGTTCAGATTCACCACAAAAGTCGAGCACGACAGAGAAACCCCCTGTTCCCACAGTTGCTGTTGACAGCACCCCTACTCCAGGCGGCTCGTCCGGATCTGGGTTGCCCAAGGAGACCGTTTTGCCCACTTCAAAGATCAATGAGTCTAAAACAAGTTCAAGCGCGCGTGCAAGACCCTCGACCGAGCCTGGTATTGTCATTGGTCCTACGGGGATTGTATCGTCCACGAGCGAGCCTAAGACGACCGTCGAGCCTTCAAAGAAGACGACCGTCGACTCTCCCAAGGTGACATCTGTCGACGCCTCTGCCAGCAACAGCACTGTGCCTGAAACCAACCCTCCCACACCTGCTACTGCGAAGGATCCTATTCCAACGGGCGAGCCACCTAAGCAAACATCCGTCGATCCAGCTGTCACCAACAATACTACGCCGGAGACCAAACCTACCACGCCTATTACCGTGGACAAGCCTACGAAGACAGGCGAACCTGCCACCAAGTCTACTACTGTTGATACGCTTGTTGGCAACAACACCGTGTCGGACACGACCCCGACTACCACAAGCGGTGGCATATTGGATCCTATCGGGACACTGCTTAGCAGCCTTTTGCCAGGCTCCTCGAGCGCGAGCACGAGCGCGAGCACGAAGACAAACTCACCTGAGCAAACTGGCACTTCAATATCGAGCACAAGCACGAGCTCTCCTGAGCAGCCCATCCCACAGAATTCTACCACGCAAGCTGCCCCGACCACAGAGCCTTCCACAGGTCTTCTGCCTTCCTTGACTTCTTTGCTTCCCCTTCCAGGTTCAACGACGACCACATCTGGCTCTGGATCGCTCCCTAACGCTACTTCGACTGAAGTCCCTGTAACTGCCACTTCGTCATCGTCTGGTTCGATCATCACGAACTCCCCAACTGCAACCACAACGGACGTTCCCATCGGCAACAGCACTTCGACCAGCTCCGGAACTGTCTCTAGTGCCCCTACTAGTGCTCCTACTGCGACTGATGTTCCTATTACCAACGGTACCATTTCTGAGCCTCCTACAGGCACCGCTACGTCAGTGCCGACCACGCCAATTTCCGTACCGAATGACAACTCAACTGTTATTGTGGGCCCGACGACTACTTCCAATATCGACACAGTTGTTCCTACGACAAAGTCCGATTTTACAAGTACTGTCGCACCATCGACGACCACCGGAGTAGAGGTGACGAGCATTCGACCCACTGCCACATTGCCAAACACAGACAACTGGCTGCCGACCACTGTTATTATCGAGCCCACGACTTTCTCGTTCTCATCGCCTACTTCAAACCCGACTGAAACCTCGTTGCAGGCTCTGCCGTCCACCGTACCCAGAGTTATTCGACCTGATACTGATGGTGATAAAAAACCGCCTGTACTCGAGGGCGCCGTTCCTATTCATATCGCCTTCAATTACACCCTCCACTACCTCTTTCTTGCTAATGATACCATGGCCGCCTCTCAGATCTTCAAGTACTTGCCAGATGTTCTCTCCAGTGCTTGCGGGCTTCCCGCTGACCAGCTGCCTGTCACGGAGCTGGCTCCTTACAACACACTGGCCACGAGAGGCTTCGTCACCACTCTTGCCAGGATGAACTACACAAAGGCTCTACTTCCAGCTCTAGCAGCCAACCTGAAAACACCCTCCTCAGCTATCTACCAAAATCGCGACCCAGTTCTACATCAATTTGCAAGCTACATTGATTCTACAATTTCTCCCACTGGTGAACTCAATGATGGTTCTTCAACTGATAACGGGGGTCCCGGCTCCGGCAACGACGGCAACAGCAACAACAGCAATGGCAACGGCAATGACGCCTTCGGCTCTGGTAACCAGGGCGACCAAACTCCCAAACAGAAGGCTACCACTGCCGGCATTGCTGTTGCGGCTGTAGGCTTTTGTGCCTTGTACGGTGCTGCCATGTTTATTGTCGCTCGACGTTACAAGCGCAAGCGACAGGGCCACCGTCGAGCCAGTTCCATCGTTAGCGGCCAAGGTTCGCCTGAGATGAGGTACAACGACAATGCTAGCCCTGCTCTCATGGGTGGCGCTCTCTTGAGCCGTGATGGTTCAACGTATGGTGGCACTGGAGGTCGGGATTCACACGCCAGTGGTGGCCACTCTGGACGCACCGCCAATATCTCCGCTCCTGTCGCTACGGAGAACTCTCTGGGCTGGAACTGATGGGATATATACGTACGGAATTTTGTTGATATTACTATCGCATCTATGCCAGTTGGTGCCATTTTTCAACTTCGATACCCTCTCGGGAGAAATCATTCTTGGATTGTTATGTGGGCTAGAGTGTGGTCATGTCTAATGTTGGATTATTGATGCATACCAATTCTGAAGGGCGTGACGAAAACCAATGTTATCATGAATGTTTCCGCGGCGGACGTTCTTGATTCGCCTTTGACTCATTTGCACAGCATCACAGGGTCTGTGACGTTCTCCATCATTTACGCGACGGGCAGGCCTGTGTTTGTCTCGACAACGAAATGATTCTTCAGCGGCGTGCTTGGGACACCCATTTGTGGAATCTAGAGCACTGTTTGGCGGTTTTACTCTTCGAGCTCTTATTCTGGTGTCCCAATTACTACTACTTTTTATTATGACACTGTGACACCTAGTCTTGGATCTGTCTTTTCTTTTTCTTTCTTAATATTTCTATCTTGGGAGGAGTAAAACAGTGTGAAGGAGAGTAGTCTACATGAAGCAACTGCTGTGTATCGCGTTGTTCGGCGCACACGGTCGTCGTTTCTGATAGATGCGAAAAAAACAGATGTATGCCAGGGTAAGAGGTGGACTTGGTGTACAGTTGGTGTCTTTGTGCCTGTGCAGGAATTTCTTGTAAGAGTTTGGACCTGTATAGACAATAAAGACAATCTTTTTTCTCAACCTGGCATGTTTATAGGCGCTAGCCTGACAAGACGCAAGTGATGATTCTGTAGGAACCCTGTTAGATTCCGTACGTAATATATGTTTCTTTCCTGCCATACTTTGCTTTGTTCCGCCATTGAATCGACCTCGATGACTCGTCGTCAAGAGGTACGAGAACGTTGAGGGATGATTCTCAACTTGGTCTCGCTCAGTGTACATGAACGATGACACCGCCGTGTACCGTCTGCTTGTCGCAGGTCGCGCATGCTCACCCCATCATCACCCACCAGTCACGTATGTACAGTGTCTCTCGTCATCACGACATGTTCGGCACCCTCCCGCCGCCACTCTCGGCCGACGAATTGATCTACCGGACCATGGCCGCGGCGGGGGAATGCTAGCCGATTTTGTGCGTGGGAATAAACGGATAGAGAGCTTGCATTATCTATTTGCTCCTGCCCGGTTCACGATACATGATTTGACATGTTTCAAGGGCGAATATTGGGCACACACGGGGTTGGAAATGGCGCCGCCTACCACCATTACGGGCACTGCTACCGAGAGTCTGTCCCAGACGAGTATCGTCACGATGGACACGAGGGCAGACGAGGAAGCCGAGATGGAGGTGGAGGTTGAGGTTGATAGTCTTGGCCGTGGACCGAACCAGCTCAAGGGTACGACGAGCTCTTCTCTTTTTTTCTCCCCTCTTGCCTTCAGATAGGCTGACTGCATCTCGGGAATCCCCAAGTTCCCGTCGTTCCACGAGCACCGGAAGCACATTGTCGTTCCTACATGGCGGCCGTGTTTTGCAACCGGGCGCGCGTAGGATTCACAGAGGGCATCTCGGGCCACATCAGCGTCCGCGACCCCGAGCACCACGGGCTGATTTTGAGGCGCGCAAAGGCATTTTGATATTTTGTATTCTATGATTTGCAATATCGTCGAGTTGCTTGGCTTTGCTGGTTGTTCGTGGAGTTTGATCTTGACTATGGCCATGGGAAAGTCGTCATTCAATGATCCAGAAAGATGCCAGATCCCGGTAGGCTTGCAATGCTGGACTTGTCATCTTGTCATCACCATGACATCAACAGCCGTTGGCTACCACTTGTGGATTTTTCGCGACTCGATATACGATGCCAACCCAACGTGCGGAGAGTATTCTGACACCGAGGAACATGAGATGAGTTGGGAATATTGATACTCCTTGATAAACCAGAATACGGACTGCTTACAGCGAGTGGTGCATGTTTCTCGTAGAACAAGGTCTTTTGTACAATTGCCGAATCGTATAGTGTTCAATATATACCATCTTGAAATATTTGCGTAGAGAATCGGAAACTACATACAACATAAGTATACTTTATATAGAACAATCCATCCCGACAAAGGTCCCAGCGGCAAAGTCGGCACCAATTCCTCATTGCCTCGCTTTCACCATACTACCCCGGATGGTCGACCATGCAAGTTCCCCGGTGGCTCAAGACTGGCGGACACCACTGGGCACAGTAAAGTCCTCGGTGCGATTCTGCTCGTCGTACTGGGCATTCTGGCCGAGCCAACGCTCGGTAAGGGTCTTCCGGAGCTCGTCGTGGCCATCAAGTCGGACCATCCCTCGCCCATGCCGCCCGATTCGAGGCCCTTGAGACAGCCGGAGTTGCTGGACCCGCCGGTCAGGTGAGTAGATACTCTTGCTTTGGTCAGGTATAAAGGTTGAGAGTGAGGACGGTGGTGGGAATTGTTTGCTTACGGCCGTGGGTGTACTCGTGCACAACGACGTTGGCATTGTTCGTGCCGGAGCCGTCTTGCGAGAATAGTACTACGGCATCGTTGCCTTGCCCGCCATTGCCGTGATTATTTGCCTTGGAAGTTGCCTCTTTTTTCGTCCAAGCCCAGCACGTAGAGCAAGTCATGGTACTTGTTGGCCGTGAAGAAGAGCTGTGTGATGGATGCGTCCTTGTAGCCTGTGGGGTCGCTCTGTGATGGATCGTAAGGACACATAAAGGTGTCATTGGGGCTGTCAGGTCGGTAGTTGTTCTTATAGTCCTTGCGCCTGTAGGATTATTCTGGGCAATGGCATTGTTGCCGCCGAGTGGTGGTGTAGTTGTTCTGGCCGTCACTCAATCACATGAATGGCGAAGCGGCCGTATTCCAGCGGTCATTCAAGGAGGTTCTGCCGCACTCGGTGGCATCATTGACGGTCCAGAGGTAGACTTGGTAGGTTGCGAGATCAGAAACGCAATCAACGACATTGTGAATCATGCCTGAGTGATACGCGTCGACGTAGCTCAGAAGCCAGTTGTCACGAACGTCGGTTTCCACCCGCCAGGTGAGGGCCAGTTTACCATCCTTCTTGCGAAGATAGACAAGCTTGGCATTGGGATGGTTTGCAGCGCCAGTGGTGCCAGTAAGGACAAAGTTTCCCTTGCCTTGTTTGGCCTCAACCTTGACGTCCTTCTTTGCACCAACGCCGACCAGGTTTTGCCGTTGTGACGAGTTGTTGCCGTATCCTTGGTCCCTAGCATTGTAGCTATTTTTCATAAAATCATGGTGAGCTGACAGACTGTACGGCTTCGCCCCTGTTCAAGAGACGTAGACACTGATTGCAAAAAAGCACAATGTGAGAAGCAGCATGACGCCAGTCGGAGTGCCTCGATGTCTCTGATGGAGGGGCAGTGTACTATTAGACTCATAAGCTTCTTTTATCCTTATAACATAGCCAGTTGTCATCGGGTATTAATCGTGCCCACGGCGCAATTCGGTAGTTGCCGATTGTGCCGACAGGAACAAGGATGCAACGATTGATCAGCTGGACCATGTTGTACCTGCCAGATCTGGAAAGTGCTATTTTGGGACGCAATCGTCATTGGCCAGACAGTTTGTGTATTCAAGGGACAACGTACCCCTACTCTATAGAACAACAGCATTAACATCAAGCCTTCCCAATGCAGATTGTCACCCTGGAACAAGCTGGCAGAATTACAGGACTAAGAGCGAGGGTGAAATACTTAATGTCAATAAAATACTTGCCTTCGATACAGCTGGTGCTGCTTACTACACGTTGGAAAGTCTTTTCACACTGAATGCTTCGTTCTTTCGAGGACTTCTCGGATCTGTCGTGGCTGATCATCATTGAGTAGGCCTTGCCTCCTGAGATATGTAGTGCGGCCTTGGCCATTTAAAGTCGAGTCATGACTTGTTCTACAAGCTTGTAAATGGCCAAAAAGAATCCCCATGCAGCATCCATATCAAAGCAGCCGAAGAAACAAATGTTGAAGCTCCCTCCCTTCTGATCTGAAAACTCGCGGGTCGTTTCGCCATCATTTTCGGACGCCATTTCACATGCAGTAGTCTTCTTCACAGGATCGATAAATCGTCGCACTATGCCCTAAGGTGAGTGTGCTGTTAGTGGCAAGGAATTCAGCGTGGCTAGTTTCCGGCCGGAAGGGGCATGGTCCTCTGTGCAAGTGGCACATTTTTTATTGTAAAACTGCAAAGACGTCGACTTTACACGTTTCCATCAATTATATAGTCCGTAAGTAAGCGTGGCCAGTACAAGGCTTAGTGCTGCCCATTGTACTTCCAGGATGCCATTTGAGACAAAACCGTACAGGCCAAATAGGTGCGTCTAGAAATTCGGTGTCACCTGATTCTTGCCACTCCGTATATGGAAATTCCCTTCTTAACCACTTTTAGAGCCGCTACTGGAATTGGTTTTGTTGTTGGCAGCTTTATCCTCTTCTTCTTTGTCTCTCCTCGCAAATGCGGCTAGGATAGCCTTGCCCTCTTCCGCGTCATCGGAATCCCACGGCTTAAGCCCCATGGACTGCATAAAATTGGTCCAGCCGCCGTATTCTTTGCAAATTTGACGCTCCGCCTTGGTTAGGGAGGGCTCTAAGCCTGAAAATTAGCTATGGTGTCGTGATTGCAGGGTGGAGATGAGGAGGGATTGAGAACATAAGACTCACGGAGAGCATCTGTGGCCGGCATTTCTGCAGATTATTTTGGACTTAAGGCGCAGGAGGGTTTTTTTAAGCTTCCTAGAGCGCGACAGTTTCTCAAGCGGGCACCAAGATGGTTTGGGTTACAATGAGTCTGGTTGTCTGTTGGTGTTGAGGCTGGGGTGACTGGGCGGGGTTGGGTTACGTGACCTTCAGGTTGTCGCACCAAAAAAATGGGCGTGGCCGTTGACGCCGTATCAATATTGACTTTCAAATTGTGTGTTCGTACGTACTCGGTACTATTGACCGTTGACCCCCTAAATCTTGTGACACCGTTGACAAGTGCATGTCACACTTGGCAGCACGCGACCAATTGACTAGACGGCGTCAAGCACAGCCAGTCACTTTGCCCCGCAGTTTGGCTCATTGGGGCCCGATGACTGCTGGGGAGATTTGTTCTCTACTCCGACATCACAACGACGACAAACATTCTATTCTGGCTGCAACAAATGACCAAGTACAGCGTCTTTCCCCCTGTAATTCGCCAAGACATAATGTATATGAAACCATGCCAATGTGAGATGTCGATTTGCAAAATCCAACCTGGAAAAGGGGCAGTGTACGAGAAAATCTAGCAATGCTCACTCTTTCCCATTACAACAACCCTCAGGTGTCACCGTCTCGGCCGCAACCACAAACGGCGCGATGGTGGCGAGTTTTTCACACGTCTCCAACAGCTCCCTCTCCGGCGTCGACATCTCAATGACACCCGCGCCGGCCTGCACCCATCGCTGACTGCCATTCTGAAACACGGTCCGCAAGACCAAACTTGCCTCAAATAAGCCCGCATCGTCAATCATCAAGATGGCCCCCGAGTACAGCTCCCTGGGCCGGGTTTCCAGCCGCGCAATAGCGTCAAGCGAGTCCTGCTTGGGAATGCCCGAGGCCGTGATGGACGGGAAGAGCATGTCGAACGCATCCCAGCCGTCCTGGCCCTGCTCCAAACACCCCGTGACCCGTGAGCCCAGGTGTTGCACATGTCCGCGCACACGCGTCGTCATAAAGTCTTCCACCACGGTCGAACCCTCGGTGCTAAAGCGGCGCACTTCCTCTATCGCCTCCTTGACAGAGATGACATGCTCGACAATTTCCTTGGCGTCGCTTTCGAGGTTTCGCTTGAGCGCCTTGCGTTCGGCGGCGGAGCCCGTGTGTGCCCGCGTACCGGCCAGCGGCTCGGTGACGACCTTGCCGTCTTGCAGTGCCATGACGAGCTCGGGACTGAACCCCGTGGCCTGGAACCCGGCGTGATTGATCGAGAAGCTGCGCTTGGGGGTGTTGCGCCGCCGGCCCCTGACGAGCGTTCCAACCATGTCGACCTCCTCGCCGAGATCGATGGCGCGGGACAGAATGACCTTCTTGTACTTGCCGGCTTTGATCTCGGAGATGCCCCTTCGTACGCGATCAATGTACTCGCCGCTGGCAGAGTCGAGATCAACCTCCATCTGCCTCTGTGCTTGCGGCGCACCCGGCCCCCCCGCAATGAGCTTCACCGCGTGTTCGATTCGCTCCGCATCGTCTCCAGAGACGGCGATGCAGTCGCTCGAAATAGTGACTTCCACGCTGGGAACCATGAGACTGAGGAGCGGCCATTTCCCAGGCGTAAAGGCCAGCCCGCGTGTGAATGCGGCGTAGTTGAAGCCCGCCTGGCCGAATACTCGGCCTCCATTCGACGAATATTTGGCAACAAAGTGCCTTGCCATGGTGGCAATGCTCTCTGTCACGGGCTCGCAAATGGATTCATTTGCCATTGTCGTCACAGAGGTACCTGTGGAGTCGACAAATAGCGAAGCCCGACTGCCAATGCCGAGATGCCACCTGTTTTCGCGCTCGTATGCAAAGTAATCCGAATCTTTGGAGGCATCCAGCAGCCGTGCGACGATTGCCAAGTCGTCTTCTGACCTTGTCCTGGAGAGGACGACTTTTCTGAACTGGCATGCGTATCCCATGGCTGCTGATAAGAAACACCTTCTTCTTTCCTAGGTGACAAGAAAAAAGATAAGGGGCAAGTCAATCAAGTACCGACTTTTGGTCGGAGGAAAGTGGTTTTCATCTATGAGGGCTGGAATTATTCGTGGGCCTTATGTCTACCAAGTCGGCATGTCCGTTGTGGGATTGCGTGGCGAGCAGGCGGGAGAGGTTCCGTAAGAATGAACGAGCATTTGGGCCAGCTGTCCATGCGGACAACTGGACACGGTGCCATCCCGAGCTCCCAGGAAAAAGAAACCACGAGGCGAAAGATATTACTATGATGAGATACAGCTACCAATGACGGCATGCTTCAGGGTTCACAGCATGCGAGGTCACACATGCTCCACGTGTTGGGCATCGAGATTCAACTCATTGACACAACGGGCGCACATAACTCTCGTTGTAGCTCAATCAGGGCTTTGTACTAATACTACAGAGATTGGCATCACCTAATGCGAAAGTGCCCTAGTTACGTGTGATAGTGATAATCTCCACACAGTTGAACCTGATTTAATTTGGGAGCAACTTTTGCGGGGGAAAGGTTCGTGGTGGTTGCGTTGATCTGCAAAAATGACCTGTTGGCTTAGGCTTCATTCAATCCTTGATAAACATCTCCTTGGAACGCAATCTAAAAAGAATCTCACTGATAGCCTCGCGTACTTCGGTATAGTCGGCGATAATAACAGCGCTTGTCCAGTATTGTACGGCGGCCATCAAGGACGGTTGGATCTCGACGTGTTCGTCAAACAGTCATTGCATCCAGTGCTGACCCATACTCCGTCATTGTAAGTCAGCAAAGTCAACAGAACTCCTTGGGCTATGTGAAATACCACAACGCCTAGATTGATGATGCATATATATAATAGTAAGATACACCCACCCAAAAAGCTTGTCGAAGTTGGATAGAATCTTAGAGAACCGTTTCGGGATGTGAAGGCTCCGAGTCAATGGGACCAGACGCGCATGCATTCCCGTCTGTACTTGCTATATTGTACTATTATCAGATAAGTACAGCAATAACGCAACGAAAACAACTCATCTGCGACAAAGGAAAAAGGCCTTTACTTGCATAAGCCAAACCTCTGGGACGGCATTTGCTCACCTGGGCAGACGCACCACACGCAATATCTGAACGTTATGCTTGATGGTCTAGCCCAATCACTAACGTTGCAATCTTGAATCGTGACATCTATGAATACCCATGGCGTCTTCATATGATACGATTTGTTGGGAAAACAGAAATTTCCCTCAGCCTCATGCACTGGTCAAAATTGTGGCATGTTTTGCAATCGTCAATGGTCCAACTCCCTCCGTGTTGCTGTACATTAGTACTCACATAGTCTGCTGCAGAAAGTTGGTTTCATATCGACTTTATCCAGAATTTTGTGTCATAAACCAACGCTATAAGCCTATAGCCGTAGGCATCAGCATGACCATCGCCAGGCACCAGTATTTTCTGCCAGCCGGTTCGTTGTCGACAGCTCCATTGGGGACGAGTCAAGATGTTTCGGAGGGGACATATGTATGCCGCTCCATAATCAAACAAGGGTAACCATGGATCAGGCTGGATGAGAGGGCGCTGACAGTCGCGAAGCTTTGGCCAAGTGTGTGGCTCAAATGTAGTCTCTTGGGCAGAGTTGCAAGCCTAGCGCGGGCAAGCCGTGGGTTTTTTTAGACGATATGCATTTATTGACGACCGATGGCGTTGTGGCGTGTCGGGCAGCCAAACTCAATTCATTTCTGGGGAAAATATGGCGAATGAGCGCTGTCTTGTTACCGGTCTCGGATTGAGATACGGGTACGGAGTATGCACCTGCTCATTGTTTTTCTTGGTGAGACATGGATTGATGAAGAACGCATTCCTGTCAACCGCCAGAAAGAGGAAGTATAATGCCGTTGTCATGACAAGTCATTGGTAGACAGACGGCCTGCGGATCTATGTAGAGACACGGCTGATTCCATTCATGGACACCACAGCCCCAGTCAGTATAGCCTGGGATGTTTTTGGGGTTTCATGTGTATTAAGCTGACGCTGGCAGGTGACCGGCAATATACCCCCGAATGCAGCAGGAGAAGATGAATGCAGTTGTCTGGACAGCTAGCGCGGGGAAGCAGGCGACGAGGCAAGACAATCTTTGTCTTGGAATGCGGTGCTCACGTCAGCTCGAGCTCGATGACCAGCGAAGCTTGTCAATTCGATAGCAGTCAAAGTAAATCTCCAGCTGAGTTTGTCTCGTCATGGTGGTGTGGCACTTGGACCTTGGCAACGCGACCAGCGAATCCTGGAGTTCTCACAAACAAGAGTCAGGTGTCGAAGTGGATGAAGGCATGTCTGTCTGTCTGTCATAAGTGCCTTCAACGTTATCAAACCCCGGATCTGCAACAGTCTACTCCGTACGTGACCCGGGAGGAGCCCATGGGGAGACTGGCCTTGTATCTTGTAAAATGTAGCAAACCACAACGTGGACTGGTGTCTGTCTGAAACGTTTGGAGCAGATTTCGCCCTCAGCTCTGCTTCTCCCGTAGCAAGTACTATGGTGCTGATGTTTATGCAGTATTCGAGACGCAAGACACCGCAGTGTGTCGATGTCTCGCTGGCTGCGAGTCCGTGGCTGAAGTCAAGCGCTATGCTCTGTCTTATCTATATGCGGTAAAAACAAACGACCATGGCCAGTCTGAGCGTCACGTGGCGACCCGGAAGCGACACTGGCTCCTGCCACGTTGGAGCAATGGAACCGTGTCGCGGTTTCCAAAGTTTCGGGAATTCCTTATCGATGACCATTGTCAATGACCTTCAACCGTCAGCAAGCACCCTGACTTCACATTTCGACTTTTACGGCTGGCGTCTTTCTCAAGCGCGCCCACTCTTCTTACGCCCCTCGTGTGCCCTAGATGGTGCAATATTTTTGCTTTACTAGAATTCCGGCTCGCCTGGCTCCGGCAACTGTGCTGGCGAGGCAAAATATCCAATCCGCCATGAGGTCGAATTCTTCCCAAGCGAGTGTCAGCCGCATTTTTTTGGTGAGCCCGATCCTTGTCGAAAACGGCCGTGCCATTACCGGGAGGCGCTCCTACTGCCGCTTGTTCCACCAGATTCTCACGCTAGCAGGGTCGTCTTACTGGCTGAGTTAATCTGGTGGCTATTAGTTCGCACTCGGCGATCAGGCAACAGAATAAAAATTGTGGCGCAAGATGGCCTGCATGGTCGTCGGACGATGGCAGAAGGGAGAATGGGGGGCACGTTCTTGGTTCCACGAGGCTTGCGCCATGCCTCAATCTCCGTGAATCATCCGCTGCACATTCGGCGTCGAAGAAGAAATTCACCCTTCGAATCTTGTCTAATTACACACACCTCTATTGCGGTGGCTGAGAATATGAGTAAAGGGGCGCCTGGAAAGAGCAAAAGGGAAGAGGCCTAAGCAGGGAGCCGTGTTGCAATTTGGATTAGTAGCTCAAACGGCCGTCTCTTTTGCCGAGAGCATCGCTCATGGGCGTAACGGCGTCTTCTCATCCGTCTGCTGAACTCACGTCGACCCCTGACCTGTTGAGGCAAGAAACCACAGGCCCGCCGCTATTATTCGCGACACAGAGTACGGAGTACAAAACACCATGTGGAATAGCCCCATCTGGCGGTGCATCGTTATACAAAAGCGTCCACTCATTAATGAGACAATTCTGTTGCCTGGCTGCATCCGGGCTCCATTGGGGGCAGGCGAATCGAGCCCTTGTCCGGACGACTGTGGCGCCGCCGCTCCCAGTCAGAGCAATCATCGTGAGAAGAACCAATTGCTTGGCATTTACGGAGTCGAGAGTACTGCGCGCAAGCCAGCAATGGCGCCTTGAGGCTCCCTGTCAAGGCTTTCGTTCCGTCGGCAACAGAAGAATTGAAGATTGTTGAGTGGCCTGCCTTTTCTGCCCGTGCTCCTGCAAATTGCGCCCGATTGTGCATTTTGTGCAGAACCGCCTGAGACATGGTAACGGGGTGTGTGCAAACAGAGGTACGGTGTGGCCGAACCTGGGCATGGGTGTGAAGTCGCCCCATGAGCAATGTGACTTACTTTTTACGAGGACAGTGACGATTATCCGGGATCACGACGGTTCTTTTAATTCAGAGAGGGAAACTTGTTGCATGCGTCACCACCTTGGGCGGGATTGCATCGGATATCTTCAACGCCAGGTTCTCATCGGGAAGCACGACATAAACCGGAATGTACGAGAGTTAATTTGACGGACAACCAGGGCCCTTGGCCAATGCACCTCCCTTGAAAATGTGACCGGCGGGAGTTGGCTGCAGACCGACGTCAGGCGGCGTCGGATCCATATGCGCCACCACGGTCCCTTCTATCGGTCATTTCCTCCTGTTTTGTCTGTGAACTCCAATTAACTTACTTACTATCCACAATCACGTTTTGGAAGGAATGATCCGGGGTGCGGGGATTGTGGGGAGAAAACCAAACGGCCCCGGACTTCAATACCCCCTGGGGTTTACAATAGTCAAGTACCTTGACATTGTACTGTACCAGGGTCTATCTAGCCTGATAACCATCTGGGACGCTCTTGGGCCTCAGCTCCCTCCAGTTGTCATGGTCATGTCCAGCTCCTTGTGCCCACAAGCGATGAATGGGTGGGACCAGGCCAAGGACTCTGTCTTCACCTTTCACCGTTAGTTTGTTGTCCAGATGTATGTAAAATCTAATTTGGCCCCATTCAGTTTCCGGACCAAACGCCAGGATGGAGGTTCGCCAGCTCTTATTCCAAGAGACTCAAATAGCCATCGCCTCCCGCCTTCAACTCCTTCAACCTCTACTCGCTTTGGACCTGTCTTAACAAATCGTCTCTCCACTGGCCTCTGGGTTTGAGAAACCGGGACAACGGCTCAGCACTGACGTTCATCACTGTGTGTAGGCTGCAGTCGGACTGAGCTTTGCAATATCTGGAAACTTTGGAGACAAAGCATCACTCAGGGTCCGCAGGGAGAATCACATTCAGTCACCATGTCGAACAACATATAGTCAGTTCAAGACCTGCTGGGAGCCAAACGTGCTAATTCATTGCCTCGGCATGAGTCACTAACAAGTCGTTAGCCAAGATTCGAAGGCTGCTCGCAATGAACACCTCGAGGAGAAGGGTATCACCCACACTGAGCAAGTGGACATGCAGCAAAACCTTGAAGCTAGGTAAATGAACATCACTCTGGCAACCACCGCACACCGGGTTGCATGATGGGCTGATATCGCATTTCAGGATCCGTAATCCGTTGCAGGGCATTCCTCGATCTCAGCTGATGCAGGATGTGGAGAATTTTGCGCAAAGAAAAGGCCTACAAGACCACGTTGCGCTTTTGAAGAAAGGCGCATTAGTTGCCCAGGATCCTACCAACATTCACAATATCGATGGCCCCGAGAAGCTCTCTTCTGAAGAGCTCGAGGTCCTCGGTGATGAAGTCACTCACAAGTGGCGTATGCCCCTGAGACTCTTCCTGACAATCTTCACTTGCTCCATTGGTGCTGCTGTCCAGGGATGGGATCAGACAGGAAGTAATGGCGCAACCATTTTCTTTCCCAAATACTACGGCATTGGAGGTACCAGTGATCGAGAGACGATCATCGTGGGCTTGATTAATGCTGGCCCATATATTGGCTCTGCGTAAGTAGTCATCTGAACTGAAGCTCTGTTTGACACATGGGACTCGTTGGCTAACGAGTTATTTAGCCTCATCGGCTGCTGGTTGTCTGACCCATTGAACAATTGGTTCGGACGAAGAGGCACTATTTTCTTCTCTGCCAACTTCTGCATCTGGCCTGTCATTGGATCTGCCCTGTGCCACACATGGGAGCAACAGCTAGCATGCCGTATTCTCATGGGAATTGGAATGGGCGCAAAGGCATCAACAGTTCCCATCTACGCCGCCGAAAATTCTCCCGCTTCCATCAGAGGTGCTTTGGTCATGTCTTGGCAAATGTGGACCGCTTTTGGCATCATGTTAGGAACCGCTGTCAACCTGGCCGTCTACAAGGTCGCAGGTCCTTTGAACTGGCGTCTCATGCTTGGTGCTCCCTTTATTCCTGCCGTGCCTCTTATGGCCCTGATTTATCTTTGCCCGGAATCTCCCAGATGGTACATGAAGAAGGGTCGATTCCAGGAAGCCTGGGAGTCCATGTCCAAGCTCCGCCGAAACCACATCCAGGTTGCTCGTGATATCTACTATATCAGCGCCCAGCTTGATATTGAGAAGGAGGTCATAGGCAACACCAACTATATCACTCGCGTTACCCAGCTCTTTACCGTTCCTCGTGTCCGCAGGGCTAATTTGGCTGCATTTACCGTCATGATTGCTCAACAAATGTGTGGAATCAACATCATCGCCTTTTATTCCACCTCTATTTTCGAGCAGGCCTTCCGTAACGATTCCAACCCGCAGTTCAAGGCCATGATTGGATCCTTCGGGTTCGGTTTAGTCAACTGGCTATTTGCATTCCCTGCGTTCTTTACCATTGATACATTTGGTCGCCGCAGCTTACTTCTGTTTACATTCCCCCAAATGTTCTGGACTCTCCTAGCTGCTGGTCTTTGCACCCTCATCGACGCAGAAGGATCCATGGCGGAAGCGCGCACTGGGCTTGTGTGCTTGTTCGTCTTCCTATTCGGCGCTTTCTACTCCCCTGGTGAAGGTCCTGTTCCATTCACATACAGTGCTGAAGTTTACCCTCTGTCTCATCGTGAGACGGGCATGGGTTTTGCCGTTGCCACCTGCCTTTTCTGGGTATGTTGAAGTCCCCTTGACATAAATAGGGTTGTACCACTAACTTGTGCAGGCCTCCGTTCTGGGAATCACGTTTCCCTTTATTCTCAACCGCCTTCAGACCATTGGTGCATTCTCGTTGTATGCAGGTTTCAACGTCGTTGCCTTTATCATGATTTTCTTCTGGGTGCCTGAGACCATGCAACGTACACTCGAGGAGTTGGACTGGGTATTTGCCGTTCCGACTAGCAAATTCGCCAAGTACCAGCTTACCGTCGCTTTACCCTGGTGGTTCAAGAGATACATCCTCTTTCAGCGCAATGCCACTAAGGAGCCCCTGTATCATTTTGAGAAGGTGGCCATGAATACTGGAAAGGATGCGTTTGCCAATCAGGCTATGGTACCTAGCTCTGACGATGAGCGCCACCGTTGACGTCGGTTGCAGGTGTGTGTATGCGATCCCGAGTTGTCAGGCCAGATTTGATGCCCGATTGTCGAGTTCTTTGGCCCCGATACCCCCACTCCTTGTCTGACCAAGTTGACATGGCATGGTTTCGATTTGTTAACATGTCATGATTTTGCACTTGCGAGGTCTCTATTGTTGAATATTGAATGCGAGAAGGCCTCGTCTGAAACATGTTGTTTATATTTGCTGAAGGCTCGGTTCCATAGTGTCATTTATTCCAGAACTTATGAATACGAAAAGGCCAGACGTTTGCCTGGAATCTGTTGCCATGGAATCTCATCTTTTTGCCCATAAACCTTTGCACCAGACGTGCCCAACTTGCCAAATTCATGTCTCACGCGAGTACAAAGCCCCGGACAGCCCTTGGCGGCCTCAGAAAAGATCAAACAACTTGGCGCCCGAATTTCAAGAAACATCAATGCCCAAGTAGTCGAGAGTTTGGCCACGGGCCATCACCCGGAGCTGGATGGAGGACCAGTTGACGCTTTCCCTCATTGGTCCAGGTCGGCCATGATGGCTGACAATCTTTTCGTCACCTCAAGTTTAAGCCCTTTCGGAGCGATCCTAGTTGCACCGGAAGAGGGTTACACATGGCAATTACTGCGGTTATATAGCTGGCGCCGATCCCCGTCTGTCTTTTCTTCGACGCCTCTGCTTTTGTAACCTACGGATGAATGAATGCACTTGCGCTTCCCCCCCGTGTGCTACAGCGTACTTGATTCCAACACATTGTCAAGGTCCAACGGCCGTGTTTCCATCCCTTGACTTGGCTCGAAGATGAGCCCGATACTTGACACCTTCTAGGACTGGCATAATGGATCAAAATCTAGACGACCCAAAGTCTGATCCCATGGCCCCTCTTAACAGCATGCTGAATTTTGCTATTTCCACGGACAGCACTGCCATCCCAAGTATTTCAGAATGTGCGGTACACCTCCTCCTCCTCGAATCGTTCACGATTTTGAGACGAGACGTTCAGCAATGGGGCAAGTCGGTGAGCATCAAAGCCGAAGTGGCATGGGACATATTTCTCCATTTGGCCGTGCAAAGGTTTCTGAAGTGGTCGCAAACACGGCGTCTCTTGGAGGGCACCACTCCGCCTTTGGACGTCTTGATGGTCTGGCATGCGTACATGTTGAACCCTGGGGCATACCTTGACTACGAAGAAGGCATACTCCATGGCCAATTTGGGGGTAAAGGCATCGCCTGGGCCTCATTGGTGAGCTTCGGATTCGAAGCATGAATTATCATCATGGCTGACTAGACTCTAGCGCGATTGCATAGACATGAACACCGCAGCCTTTACCCTCCCGCCAGCAGACGAAGCCATTACTGTCAGCATGTCTCTTGACCCGGACCTCCTTGGTGCTCTGAAGCTGGGCACGGTTAGCCCTCTTGTTCAAAAGGAGGTTGAAGTCGCGTGCAGTGTTCAAATCGATCTTTGTGCGGCAGTCGGACGCCAATTCGATTTCAGCGAAAAAATGTACTCGTTGAACTGGCTTCGGTGCCCGTTTGCCAGGCAAACACTGGAGAGATGTGCCCTTGAATACCAGCACTTCTTCAAGCTCGTTGCCGACAATACCGAGCGAGACGTGATGCCCACGCTGCATGTCGACCTTGTCTGGCATACGCACCAGCTTTCACCAGCATCATACCGCGCGTACTGCGACAAGGTGGCAGGGACTTTTATCAATCACGATGATACACCGAGTCCAGACGACCTGGCGGTGGCAGTCAGCAGCAGCCGATTGGAGCCCCAATATACTACGTGTTGCTGCTGGTTTTGCGAGGCAGGACGGGTGAGCCACCCGGGCGAGAGACGATTCGGTTGCCCGTCGGGGATGGAATCGATGATATTTCAAGCCGTGGAGAGGGAGAATCACCGGCGAGAAAGTCACGCACTTCCAACAATGAGCTGGGTAGAGACGAACCACGCCATGATAACATTGAGGCAGATGAATCAAGAGCGAAAAGGCCAAACTTGGGCCTGCGTGTCCGGGCTTTAGCTAGATCCAGACGGGCAGAACAAGATGTTGAATACATGGCATCCAAAAACGAAAAGGGAAGATGCTCCTCTCCGAGCTCGCCATGACATTTTAGATCCAAGCCACTGGCGCGCAAGTAATCTCGGACTTGTCATTTACTCAAGCACTAGTTCTAAGATGACAATATCCACCGCTTGGCATAAGCAAGCCCTTGACGTTGAACGAATGTTGTATGACGGCCTCTGACATCTCTAAGCCAGCAGGAAGGGGGGATACCAAAGCCCAAGATTCCATCCACCTCGTCCCAAGACCTATTCCCCCCATGGTTAGCAGACTATGTGAGCCAGTATGTACCCAGAGCCGTGCAGTACTTACGTCCGGGGGGCAATGTAGGCCAACTCAGCCTATGTTGATGTTGCCGCGGCCACCGGCAGTCGCGTTGCCCGACTTTGAAGACACCCCCTTCCCGCCGAGCCTTGCGCTCAGGCAGCTGACGGTGTAGGCGCCACCGGTGGTAGCCTTGCCGCCGGTGCTGATGTTGCCGACGGTGACGCCCTGTCGGCCGTTTTGGCCGACGTTGAGATCGCCGTCTCCGCCGGCTTTGGCGTCTCCAGAGGCTGCGCTGGGCCCGTCGCTGCCTGCTCCAAAGTCGAGGAAGCTGAGGGTGCCGGATGTGCCCGTCTTGGATTCTCCGCCGGTGTCTATGTCTCCTACTTTGATGTTGGACATGGCGGGAATGGAGGGTAGGCTGGCGCAGTAATGTGTGCTTGACGATTAGGGGGGATTCGACAAAGACTAAAAATGTCTGGTGGTTGTGGGATTTGGCTGAAGCGGCTGGCGCAATGGAGCAGTCTGCTCTCATATATCCCGACTATCTACTCCGTAGGCTACCTTTGCCTAGGTTGGTATGAGGGTTACATGAAGAGCAGTAAGTCCCTCAGCTACTACGTACTCCGCAAAGTCTTGTTCCGTGATGGATCACATTCAGGGGACATTTACGTTGCAACTCGTCTTATATGCAGCATGTGGTATCTCTGTCTTTGTCCAAGTGTGCCCAGCTTCGGAAGCCACATGGCCCGTATGCTGGATGCTCAGAATGTGTAGCCATGTCGAGACTCGAGAGTTTGCCCATCACGGCGGGGGCTATGCATATGTTGTCGCCAAAGTGAGGCGGGCATTCGCATGTTTCGGTAGCAGGGTGACCACGCTGGCCGTGAGTCCGGGCAGCAATATGGGTTGCCGGGATGACTAGGTACCGAGCGAGGTAAAGGCTGCATGATGGGTTGGAGAGTGAAACTGCCGGCTGTGAATGTATGGATGAGGGACGTCCCGATGTGGCGGAAGACGGCTGGTCTCGCCGCTGCAGGGTACATGTCATAAACGACTCCCCTCGTTTGTCGAGTTTGGTGAACTACTCCGTGCTCTGTAGCCAATAATGAAATACTCCAACACGAGACCGGCGAGCGATATCATGTGGATCAAGTTTCCATGTTGCGGACGGAACGTCGGCCAAGACACCTATGGGTGCCGAATAAAGAGATACTAGAATGCATACAGCAATGTCTGTGATAACGTGACGAATCGAATCTTGGGGGGAAGAAACATGATCGAGATGGGAACACTTCGAGTGGCGGGAATGGAACGAGTGTCAACGACGTGGCCACTAGCAGCGCCGAGTCTCGAGGCAGACTCAGTGGCACCGGGATATTGGGCCCGAGTTCAAGAAGTCCGGTTAGGCATGAAGACGCTTAATTGTTTGCCGATGCTCATCGTGGGACCAGTTGACAAGTTTGGGCGCCAAACTCCAAAGATGCTTCCGATAGAGTGGTCGTGGAGTACTCCGTATATCGCAGTATAATTGGTGATGATACCGGCTGTTGTAACCCAAGGCCGGGGCCGGTTTGCTCCTTTCAGCTCCAATCAGACACGCCATGTGTCAAACATCACTGCCGCTTGCTTTATGCTCCTACACGCACGACGACCATCGGGTGATGTGAAGTTGGGTTATGGAGTCTAGATGACAATTATTGCGACTTGTGCCTCTGCCTGACTAGGGACCGTGGTCCAAGTTCGATCTTATGGACTAGTATTTGCAACATGCCTTCTTTCGGTATAACGTGTTGGGCATTCGTGTATGCTGCGATGCTCACACCGTTCGGTGTAATTGCCTTCTCGTAAACGCATGCAGGACTATTCACCCGACAAAGGCGTCACCACAAGAGTGCTGATGTCCGGTGTAGATACTCCGTACAAAAAGCATCAATATGATTCATCTGCTACCATGTACCTCCCAAATCACTTGACAGGGATTGGAAATCGGTATACATTGGTGCCACGAATCTCTCAGCTGGCCAGGGGGAGTTCTCTTCAGATTGCAACCCCATTGACACCCAGATCTCGATGAGATGCTCTCTACTACGGCATATTCCGACAGTTTTACAATCCCCAAGAGAGTTCTAGCCCTCCAATATTGGCAATGGGCGGGACAAGGTAGGTGATTCGCTGATGTGTCATAGTTACGGCACTTGTTTAAACACCACGTCTCCGTCAGGCTCACAGATTATGTGACCATTACTGCCATGGCAAGTTTTATACGAATAACCAGGTTGACTGTCAGGGTTCAAGTCCAATTCTTCAGTTGCCTTCAGAAATGTGGCTGTCGTGAAGCGAAAGAAATCTCGTAGCATTGGCCAAAGAGGCAATATCACCTCCGTACGTAAACAATGAATAGACCCGTCTAGCCCAGCCACTTACGTTTGTCTTGGATTGACATTATACCATCACTTGGCTGAGACGGACCCGATATTGTGATTACCTCTGGTTCTGCATGATCTTGTTATTGTGTAGACAAAATAAAACAAGAGATAAAAGATCCGCCGTGGCCTCGTTTGTGTTGATATACCATGCAAGCTGCCGAGGACAACAGCACTGGCTTGTCCAAAGTCAACTCCTAGTCTTATCCAATACAGCTCCTTCATTATTTGCTTCCCATCACGCTTCTCGCAATAAACAAAGATGCTCTTCTCCAGACACGAGATTGACTCAAAGTCGGACAGGCCAGTCGTCCTAGTCTATGCCAAGGCTACCCTGGAAATGGGAAATCTCGGAATCACGGGCAAATGGTTCTCCTGGCAGCTAAAGAGAAACATTCCCGGCACCGTCGCCGTTCAAGGCGTAGGGTACAACTGCCTGACAATCCCCTTGTCTCTCGTCAAGGGAGGTTCCGACAGCGCTGCTCAGAAAATGGTAGACGCTGTGCACAAGGCCGTCAAGCAAAGCCCGGAGAAGAAGATTGTTCTTTGTGGTATTTTGGAAATCTTCCTCGTTCTTTAGCTTTTCTATTCGCTGACATGTCTCGCAGGGTATAGTCAAGGAGCCTCTATTATTCGCAAGGCAGTCAAGCAACTCGGGCCAGAAACACGTGCGAGGATCACGGGAATTATTCTCTTTGGAGACCCTAGCAGAATTGGATCCAAGATGCCAACTGATGTCGGCGACAAGACACTCAACTTGCGGCTGCCTCTGGACTGGGTTCATTGGCCTATATCTATCATCACTGTTACTCACTTTTGGTACCCTTTTCTTTCTTATGGCGAAGCTGTCAACTTTGTCCGGAATCAAATCAACTCTTGACATCAAAGATTCACCATGTCCAAAGGATGTGCTTCATGTTGGAGCGATGGATTGCGCCATGGCACAAAGGGTTTTTATGCCATGGAGTCTTTCGTGTATCTGTCTGGCTCAGGCTATTTCTGAACTTTGTGTGCTGGCTGTTCCTTTAGGTCTATCTCGTGGCTCAGTAAAGCAGTCCATCGTTTGATAGGATAGGGAGTGTAAAAGCAGCAATGTAGTGTCAGCCACGAGAGTTTTTTATTCGGGTACTTGTTTAATATACTATTTTCGAAAATTGTTACTATATTAAAAGGGAGAAGATGAAGTCTCGTCTATGTGTTGGTTTCTGCTACTCTATGCCCCCATTATACACGTATTTTTCGTGCAGCGTGGTCACAAATCCCACACCCCAACCGCTTCAAGATTGTTCAACTCGAAGCCATTTCGTCAGTGTACTTGATTTACTTTGATGTTCAGGTTGGTGAAGTCAAACCCATGACGGTTGCTTCCCCGTTGACCACTTGTTGACATCGTCGTAATGCTCAGAGCCGCTGGTTCTATACTCAGGGGACCTGTTAAATCATTGCCGAGCACACCAACCAAAGATGGGCAAGATTGTTGCTCTTTGTAGTATTGATCTGCGTGCCAAACACCTGTCATCTGCATCAATTCCCACCTGATCAAAGTTGCTCACAAAACGGAGTACAGGTCTCATGCATGTCTTGGCTAGAAAATCAGGCCGCTACGGCATTTACATGTAGGGACCAACGCAAGTCCAAGTCACCGAAAGGCCGTCTGCAACGAGTGATGCTGCTACACAATTTGTTCAGCTACTACGTTGCCGCCTAACTAGGGTCCTCAACGCCTCAAGTCAAGTACAGTTGTTCGCCGAGTCTAGTGCCTAGCCAATAAAACAATGCATGGCGCTTCAATACGAGGCTTGATATCGCCGCGACAATGGTGTCTGAGCGAACTCGTTCAGTATTGACATGCCGGACACGCCAGCTTGTGATGTAACCATCCGATTCACTTTGTGGTGTTCCTCGCATCCTAGACGTCGATTGAGTATCCAGCGCGAGGTGCTTCACCAGTTTCAGGCAGACATTCTCAAAGAGGCCGGGATCTGTGTGGTTATAACTAGCGCAAGAGGAATTATTCTGCCGTCACTGTTATCATCAACACAAAGCCGCACTCCAAAGCGAGAGAGTGCTGCGGACATCTCTCTGCCACACTTCCACATTCTGCGCATAATTCTCTTGCTTTTGCTTCTTGTGGTTCTCGATCCCACTATTCTTATCAAGATGTCTCAGCCGCAACGTAGTTGGAACAGCCATGGAAAATCTGGCAACCCCAACCAAGACAACAAGAGAAACTGGACCCCTTGGAGCGGAGCAACGACGAAGAGCTGGGGCCAGAAGAATAACCATGGCAACATGAACACGTGGGAAAATTGCGGAAATACAGCCTCGGACAACTGCGGCAACACATACAATGTAAATTATGGCGACACTACAAGCTACGACCAGCGAGGCATGAATGCCTACGACCAAAGAGGAACCACATTCATCAAGACTGGAAACATTTCCAGCGGCGGAACTGCCACGACTGGAAATGTCTCGGCCAATGGCAAATCCAATGCCACTTCAGGCCAAGCATCAGCCGGAGGTGGAAACATCACCATTGGCGGCCGTGGCTAAACTGGTACGTGGGTAAGCGCTCTACAGCCTCACCTTTGGTTGGTTCGTGCCGCTGAACATGGCAGGCTAACTATAGAGCGGAGGCAGAAGTAGATCTTGCATGAGTTGATTGCCTGCTCAGAGTGTCTCGTGAGAGTTTGAACGTCTGGACGGGTTGCGTTTTGAACAGCATACGGATCCTCATATATAGCACAACGTATAGACTTGGTATAAATGAAATTGACACTGGATTTCGCCCCCCCGCAAAGAAGTAGACGAAACGGCTCACTATATACGCTGATGATGAAAGATGCATTGTCACAATCAGTAGTATTTGTAGCGACTACAAAAGAAAATACACGTAGCTGAAAACCTCAAACGAACAAGTCTGAATGTCGCCCCCCGAGACGAAAGATTTGACAATACCAGAGACAATTCCAAGACCCATCCCGCCGCGTTTGCAAAATCAAAGAAGAAAAGGAAAGAAACGGCAACGGCAACGGCAACGGCAGGGTAGCCCAAGCAGTCGATATACATCAACCAGTTCGGCAATCCAACGCAGTCAGAAAAAGCTCAATCAACTGTTGTCCAAGTCAAAAGGATCAGTATGTGGCCCAGGAAATGAAACTAACAAGAGAGGGCCAATTGGGAGATTCTCACCCATCCCGTGTAGAGCGCATCGTTCCCCCGTCGACGACACAACTCCTCTTGTCGATCGAGAGCCTCTTTCGAACAGCATACAAAGTCCTTTATCGTTTCATCGTCCTCGAGACCTCGCAGGAATTGGTTGGCCTTGCTACTGTTTCCAATTTGTGTAACGAGAAATACGGCGGCCCCGGGGCCATATGCCTGGAGGGCCGGGGAGTGTTTGCACGTCCTGATGCAGTTTTTGAAGGTGTCCGAGTCTTCGCCAGAAGGCTACAATGCCACCAACACTCAGTATGAATCCAGAGAGCGATGAGTCTGAACAAGGGGCTCATACCTGTCCGTCTGTAATAACCATTGTAATCACGGGCCTTCGGAGTGTATGGGCCTCGGCCTTGCGAAGGATCAAAGGCTGCACGACTTTTTTATTGAGAGCTGTGCCTAGACGCGAAAACCCAATGAACCAGGCCTTTGAAAACTGTTGCTCAATTTCGTGAATAGTTAGTAGTCCATCGAGGCTGTTGGTGTCTTCGCCCGCGTGGTTGAGGAATCGGAGTGATATTCCCAGTGGTGTAAGAAGAGAGGCGATCTTGGCGAGGCGTATCAGAGTGCCTTTGAGTGTCTTCTTATGCTTCCTCATGGACAAGCTATCATCTAGAACATGTTTGAGCATCTTCTTTTACAGTTTTGAAGGAGATGGGCGCATATCTCACCACATAGAATCACAAAATCATACACAGCAAGCTTGACAATGCCTGGGGCTCGCTCAGGGGCCAAGTGGAACTCTTCTGAAATACACTTCACTTTTGCTACTGCCGCGTTGACGAGACTGTCGATGGATACGTCCAGGTCGGGGAATCCAGGGAAGTTGTTTGTTACAAAGTTATTGATGTAGGTTCGGTACTCGGCAGAAGTCTCGGGTGGCTAGGACGGGGTGAAGAGATTGTGTTAGTCTCGATCTCGACATGGTGGTCGTGGGAGCAAAGTACCTTGGCTTGCAGTATGTTGGTGGTATTGTAAGTGGTGGTATCTCCATAGTTGTGGTGTATCTTATTTCCACAGTTCGTATTCACCGTATTCCCACAGTCTTTCGCAATGTTGATTGCACCAGCATCACGGCCTGGGGTGTCATCACAGACATCGTCGGCGTCTTGTGTTGATGTTCCTGACATGTTCTCATCACTATTGAAATCTTCGGCAGCACGACCAAGTCGAGTTGATGGGATGTTGGAGACTTCTGCGCTTGACGTTGGAGATGCATTGCCGTCATTTGGCACCGCGGCACCGGTTTGCAGGAGTTTCCGTGGCTTCTTGGGCGGATATTTGTGATGAGGGCAGTGTGATTTTGGCGCACGGAGGCGTCTCCTACATCGTCTCCCAGTCTTGATTCTCCCTTTGCAAATACCTCTGGGAACCTTGAGAGTTCCCATATTCACACTCACTGGCAGCCTCAATCATGGACACGGAAGCAGTTCCAGTGGTTGAAACAACCATGAGACGGCTGAAAGACACGCGGAGATCAAGTAGTCAAAGGGCTTGGGGACGGTCAGTCTAGTCATTTTGACGACTATGAGGGCGGAAAGCCTTGATCACATCATTGGTAGCCGTGGGTGACATTGGGATGATTGATCACCACGTCCAGCAGCCTGGCACATATTGTCGTACAAGAACCCTACGCACATGGCGACCCAACATCCAATGCAAGCAGGACTGTGCCAAGAGCTGGCTGCATCAAATGCCGCCCGCAGGCTTAGCCTCGACTGAGACAGCCTGGACTGCGATGTACGTGCATGGCGTACGAATGGTCAACACACCGGAGGTGTTAACCCATCAAACATAGCGGCAGGCTGAACCGGTTTTACATCCGTGGACCACGCCATGCCATACGGCAACACGTTGTTTACTCCGTAGTCACAGACCAAGTCGGAAGGCTGCGGCTCTGTCTTTCCTCAGCCAGCCAACAAAGTCAGTTAGTGGGCGTTCTGCGAAGATGCCAGGTCACGGGTCGTAGTTAAAACTACCGTTGAGTCTATAGATGATGCTACAATATCGAATTGCACGCCTCTTGGGAATAGCCCTTTACGCCTTCACAGGAAGATGGAACCCTCAAGTTCGTCACGCGACCCTCGTGATCCACCTCCATATTCGACCAGCACGGCGTCTCGGTAGTTCCGCAAGCATTGGAAGCTCTTCTAGAGACACTGAAGAACTGTCTCATCCTCCAAAGCCGTCAAGTCGGGTCAACTTGTCCAAGAGCCGACCAAGAAGAAGGCCAAGTCAACCTGCTGATTGCTATACCACCCCAAAGCCTTCGCCCCCGCGCCATCATGCGAGTGGCGTAGATAATAAGTTGAGTAGCAGAATACTCAGGCTTTCTCCAGATGCCGTTATTTCTGCCGCTGTTGGATTCTTTTGGGTTAAGAAGCATGTCCGCACTGCAAAGCCTACCCGCACCGCAGAGCCCATGCGAACTGCGAAGCCCAAGACTTGTCGTTAGATGGCATGGGGTCCTTTTGGAAAGTGTTTCAAGACTCGGCGCTTACTTTGGCACGTTTAGGGAACGGGACTTGAACGTGTGGAAATTGGGTATAGAGGAGATAAACTAATGTGGCGATACGCCTGATTAGAAAGAGTCAGATTTTTTAACTATTACTTTCTTTGTGTTTTTAAGGAGACAATTTTCAGGCTATGCTATAAATATTATCAGTCCATTCATGTGCTTGGCGCGTTCTAGGTCTGCTCTGTTCAATATTATATTCTTCTAGGACTTATATGTAAGCAAAGCCAAAAGCAAGCATACACCGTCAGGTATTTACTAATCATCACCAAACCAACTACTAATTAAATAATAAATATCACAGGCCCCCCCAAGGCAAACCATAACCATCTTCATCATGCGGAGAAGCTCCTGTTACAATCACCCATCAAGTATACCAAGTAGGAGTCGGGTGTTCACCTACAAGATGGTAACGGCCAAGCTCCCTGTTCTTATATGCCACCGGGTCATGAAGTGTATGTGTTCTGATATCCCTCCAAAACCGGTCCAAACCGACTTTGCTTGCGGTTGCTTTGGCACCCGTCGCCTCAAAGACGCCCGACGTAACTCGCAAGCCAACGTCGGTTGCAACCACCTTGATGCTGGCAACCCATTCGGCTACTTCACCCCGGTCTTCGGCTGAGACGACATTCTTGTCGCTCAGGTTGCTGGCTTTGCCGTACACTCTTGTAAGCTCATGTCCAGCACGGTCAGCAAGAGCGGTTGCCGCCCGTAAATGTGCGAGAAAGTTGCCGTAAGTTGACAATATGTAAAATTCGTCTGATGCATTTTCCTTGACCTTTTCGAACATTGTTAGTTTGATAAAAAGAGAAAAAGAGGGAAAGTATTGCTTCTTACATCACCGCCAAAGGGCCAGGCTCTGGTAGACTTTTTTGTGTAAGCCGTGGCGGTATCCAGGGCTCCCCAAGCGATTCCAAGGTAGAGGTTGCTGAAAACAAGCTGAATACTGTTTGTAATGTAAGTCGTCTGCCCAGAAATGCATGTGGCAAAACCCATTCTCTTCGATTCCCACTTACGTCGGTAGAAGCAGAGTCGCAAACGGTACGCCGAGATCAGAAGCGTTCGGCCTCTTCGCCACGGGATCCCACCCCAGAGCGTCGGACCAGGGCACCCTGACCTTGTTAATCCTGACACTTCCGGATTCTGTTAGTCGCAGCCCGATATTATCCCAATCGTGAGAAAACACAATAGCAGGCTGGTCTGTCTTGACAACCGTAAAGATGTGGTCAGAAGTGCCTTCATAAGATCCCTCAAGGACAGTCAAGTCGGACACGACGCCGCCCGTGTTGAAAAACTTGAAGCCCTCGAAAACAAGCTCGTCGCCATCCCTCGTGATGGTGAGGTCATTGTCACGCGGGTTGACGGCGCCTCCCACGAAGTAATTGTTGGCAATGATGAGCTCTTCAAACCGTTCAGCCTGAGCTGGCGACCCGACAACTCGAGCAATTGTCGACCACAGTAGATGGTAGCCCAGGAGCATTCCAATAGATCTGTCCCGAGTATGTTAGGATGCTTGGTTCTCTGACAAAGATGAAAGAAGATGGTTCCTACCCATCTCCGCGGGCTACCTCGCGGATAACCTGGTTTCCAACGGACCAAGGCTGCTCTCCGCCACCATATCGCTGCGACCCCAAGACCTTGAGAAGGCCGGAGTGTTTTAATAAAGCAATCTCTGCGCGTGGCGACTTGTTCTCACGGTCGCGTTGCACGGCGTCTGCTGCCAGTACAACTGCGACGTCCTTGGCTCTTTGGATCCATTCACCGTCGTTTTTTGGTTGCTCTGCCCACGTCGAGCGATACTCATCATAGACGGTAGGGTCTGTTGCGATCCTGGCGGCGGCGTTGGATGTAAGCTGGGCCGACATGTTTGTTGCTTGACCAGATAAAAGGCAGTCCAATGGCAATGGTAAGATACTCTATGGATTTAGTTTTTTTGCAAACATGTCTCCCTTCCTTTTATACTTGAAAGCGAGCCTGCAGATTACATGGGCGTGATTGGCTGGCTTGGAGAAGGTTGCGGTGCGCATTGCGACATATCTCGCGTGATGGGTGTGCAAGGATTGCGCCATTGGAGGCACGTGTAAATAGAGTGGTTGCAGATCGCTCCTAGCTGTGAAGGGACATGAGGCAAATAAAAAGCATAGTAATGAAGCAACTCAGATGTTGGATTGTCGACGCATCGTCTAATAAGTCTTTACGCTTCACCCCGGTTGCCTAAACTGACCAACAATCAGAAAGAGCAAGTCTTTTAGCGATGAAATAAATCGCTACAAACTAAACGGTTATATAAGAGTCTGTAATTATGTTACACTTGTTCAGTTCAAAGTCAATAGCATCTCTTCATGGAGCATGATAATCGGCACTGAATTGGCAGCAACTATGTGTCAACGAGACATGCTGGGACCCGGTACTCCTGCAGTAGACGACAACGAGTAGTTGACTAGACCAGATGCCGGGATTTACTACGCAAGATCATAATGTACCGTACTATGGTGTATACTTGTTTAACGGCAATTGTACTCTAGATGAGTAGAGAGAAGAATGAAGAAACTGCAAAAGGGGTTTTAGAACATGCTTGTCTTTATGGTTGACGCATAAAAACACTAGAAATAAGGTAGCTTCAACATGCTGCGGCTATGTGGATATATAAACACATGATACGGAGTAGGCGTACTCATTTACGCACTCCATGCTTCTTATTAGGCGGTGGAAGACAGCCACCAACCGTATCGCACGTCTGGTGTACTTCCGGGCCAGGTTTGCAATTTGGCCTAGTACATGTATGTCTCACCAGCCCTTGACGTGGCGCTGGCAGAGCGGCGCGAGTTGCACAACGCCAGGACGAGCCATAGTAGTACTCCGTACAATTGCTAGGATTTGCGATTAAATGTAGTCTTTTCTGTTTCCCTTTCTGACTTCTTGCCTAGGTTGTAGGAGACAATGCAGAAGATCCATAGAGTATGGCGCGGCTTTTCAGCCAGACCATGCTTGTGCCTGATGCGGTGTAACACCAGCTGCAGCCAGTTCAGCTACGCCATGATCCACGTAGGCCGTCTTTTGAGCTCCTCTACGGAGTAGTGAGACACGTCTAAGACCTCAGTATCTACGGAGTAATACGGTTATTTCGCCTGCCGAGTTGTACCCATGGCTGAGAGAGTGGGAGGCTGGGGGTACCAAGTATTGTAGACGTATGTTTTTTCTCCCCCTTTCAATCGTGGCCACCCGATTTTCAATTCCTTTTATTCCTTACACTCCTCTTCCCTCTTAGCCTTCAAGTCCACCATATCAAGACCGTGGCCATTCCGTATCTGACCTCAAACTCCCGACCTACGCCCTATCGAGATGAAGCCTCTTTCTGCCATGGCCTGGCTGGCGACCTGCCTGACCGTGGTAGCAGCGGACAGTCTCAAAGTTCCAGGGGAATCCCCCTTGGAGTTTTGCAACTCTAATCGCGACCACGACGCCGTACAAATTGACAAAGTTGACATTTCTCCTAATCCTCCTAAACCGTACGCACATGTCCACCTTGATTCCTGATGCATTGCTTACTCGGGCATAGGGGAAAGCCTCTAATCGTCACCTTCGAGGGGGTCGTCAAGAAGAACATCGCCGACGGCGCCTACGCCAAGGTTGTCGTGAAATATGGTCTGATCCAACTCCTCTCCACTACAGTGGACTTTTGCGAGCAGACGCAGAACGTCGACCTCAACTGCCCTCTTGAGCCTGGCAAAATGGTCATCACGAAGAGCATCGACATGCCCTCTGTGATTCCTCCGGTATGCAATACTCTCGGTACTGGCTTGATATGCGATGCTAACGTGCTACAAGGGGACGTACAATGTTCTCGCTGATGCGTACACGGACGATGACGAGAACATTTCCTGCCTCAAGGCTACTGTCAACTTTCCACGGCCTGGGCTTCTTGGCGAGGAGCTTTGAGAGAAGTGCGATGGCTGGAGCATGTTATGGATAGGAGGGGATGGAGGATTGTAGAATTTCCAGGAAATTGGGAACAGCCAGCGTCGATCGAAATTAATGCTAGATGCGTTTGTGTGGCTGAGACTTGGGGAACGCGAGAAAGCTCATTCGAGAATGTGTAGCTGAGTTGGAGTAATGCCAAACTTCTTGTGGTACTTGCCACGGCTAGAAGAGTCGACAAATTTATGCCGTGTTGCTCGATATCAGCCGGTGGGTTCAGGGCTTGTTCCATCAACAAAGACTAATAATTATATAGTCCGTTAATCAAGTGGATTCCATAAGAGCACGAGGCAACTACATTCGGGGACGAGCAGAGGCGATATGTAGCAGCAACGTGGTTTTATGCTTTTATTCTTTGAACCATTTTCGACCGCAACTAACCTCATGCCTAAATAGAGGCGGTATCGCTCACCAGCGGCCTCGACATTCCATCCTTGCGTGCAGTATCTCAAAGTAACTTCCGGAAAGTTGTACTTTTGACTAGTCAAATGTTGGCAAAGGAAAATGAAGCACGTGCTCCAAATCTCTTGCCATTCACTACCTTTCTGAGCCGTAACCAATCCTCTATGTGAGGCCTTGAAGTGCGTGGTTCTATTTTTCTCCCCTTTCGCCATGGCCCAGCGGGAGAGACCAGTGGCTTGTTCAACTACGGTGTAGATATCAAGATACCTTGGTCACTTGGAGAAATAGTCCAGACTTGAAACCAACTTTGAGCCATGGGCACTCCCATATATAAATTCTTTTCCTTAGGCCGCCCCGCACACATCGCTGCACTTTGGTCGTTTCTGTCTTGTTGTGCATACTCCTGAGCTAAACCCAACTCTTTCTTTGCTCCGGCATGACGAGGCTCCCTTTATAAACGCCAAGTTCGGGATCGTGCGGGCAAGTTCATGATGGGAGAATCAACGGCATTTTGCGACTTCTGGAGTGACAATGCAAGACCAAGTCTCCCAATCATGGCCACTTACCCCCACATTATATGAGCCTAGCCCCGAGCACTCTTGTTGCGAATATAGGGAGCAGGACAGATCGATCGGCTCCGCATATGATGCGAGTTGAGATTTAGCTCAAGTTTGGTGATTGCCGAAAGAGAGACGATCCATTCTGGCTACGAGGAGATCCTGTTAGCGCCATTTGCGTGGCTAGCTTTCATCCACTCGAAATGTCTTGTTTAAGCCTCAAGATCTGGGGTATTTAGGCTATACCATGGGAACCCTGCTGAGAAAAGAACCGAAGCAACCTCTCAGAATCATGGGAGCTGAAAATCGGCACCAATTTATCAAGAGGCTTACTAGCGCTAGCCCAAGTCGCTCTCAATAACAAGGCGCCTTACATGGCTGTATGAGTCTTTTGTTTGTTGTAGAATCCACCACAAATCGTCAAGCCACCACGGTTGGAGCGGCCGGGAAATCGGCACTTAAGCATTGCGGCTGAAACCTGGGCTGTGCAGTCCTACTGGAGATTCCATCAAGAGAATTGGATTGCGTCCATCTCGTAATCGTTCTAAGCCTCGGCCGGCTTCTCTTCCATATTCGCCCCTATTACTACCTAGCTAGTTACCACGAGAAGGCCGACAGGGACGCTGGCCATATCCGCTCTACACACGCATATAAAGCGCGGCGCGGTGCCCAAAAAATGCATAGAATTTCAATCTATCAACGCCAGTGATATTGTACCCTTCTATATCCTGTCACCGAGTTCAGCATTACCTGCCATGGGGTGGTTCTCTGGTAAATACACGACCCTCGTCCGGCCCTACACTACGCCCCTTTACTGATATACTCTCCGTCTCTCTGAACAGATGATTCCGACCAGGCCCAAGCCTACAATGACTACAACAACAACGGGGTTGACCAAAACCAACCGCACCTCTCTCACGAACTAATCGCGGGCGCTGCTTCTTACGAGGCCGCCAAGGCGTATGAGAATCACTGTGCGGAAAACGGTATGATGCTCCAAGATGCGTGTCCACACACTTCAGCAGAGGCTGACGCGCGCCGGTTCCATCTGTAGGCCAGCCAGGATCTCACGCAGAGGCGAAGGAAATCATGTCCGGATTCGCGGGCGCCTTCATCGACCGAGAAGTCGAGTCAAAAGGCATGGACTTTATAGACGCCGAGAAGGCCAAGTACCAAGCCCAGCAGCACATCGACAATGTGCCCGCAGATCAATTGGGATATTAAACGCTGCAGCCGCGTAGGGATCGACAATAGTTTCCAGAGAGGTTGTGGTGTCCAAGATCAACAGCTAGTAGGCTAGATAATGACTAGTTGAAAGTATGAGTTCCCCATGGAGCAGACTAAGCTCGAGATTGATATGATTCTGTGACAAGGGCTCGATAGAGGGTTTGGAGCAATTTGGTCCAAATCAATGATAACCTCGAAGGGTCTCCAAGGTCCTGAGTTGCTAAGAGGAAGAAAGGGAAAGGTAACCCCTTTATATACATAAAAGGAACGCCCAGGCCTAGGGCTTCTTGCCAGGGCACGTGTTCAAGCTGTGTAGCTAGTAAGTCCCGTATCGGTGAAGCCCCTTTGTTGGGCTTCACAATCTGTTGGGCCTTTTCGGTGTAACAGGTTTACAGGGTCACTTCTGGCCTTATATGGGCCTATTTTCGGTGTCTGCTTGTTACCTGTGTCAAAGACGTCTGTACTTGCCGGTATATAGCAGCAGCAGCTTCACGAATATCCACAGAGTACATCCAACCCGGAATCGGCTAAAACGTCAACCGGTGTCTTTATTCTTCCCCCAGCAGCTCTATATACCCATATCATAAAAAAGTCTCGCAAAGAAAACACAAACCGAGCAAATTCTCCCCCCATCAGTGTTTATGACAGTAATACGTCCCACCAGTACTCGCGTCCTCGCTCCGCATATCATACCCCTGGAACCACCCATTCAGCATATCATGGAGGTAATTCAAGTCCGGCGGGACACGATACGCCCTCCCCTCCCCAGAGCACGGATACTCCTCCGTCAGGCCCCGTCCGCCATTCAGCCCGGTCCTGTCACCGGCCGTAAACCAGCCATTATACAAGCCCAGCGCGTAGACAATGTTCCCCCCGGCGCGGTTCAAGGCCACGCGCAAGACGTGCGCGCCGCAGTCCGAGTTCTCCATGATGGGGCGCTGGCATTGCTTCATGCCGTTCTGGCAATTACTCGGGTCGCACTGGAACAGGCCCGGAGCCGGGCCGGGGGCGTCGGCGTTGCAGGAGGACTCGTGGAAGGCGATGAAGGCCAGCATCGCCGGGTCGACGTCGTACTTCATGCCCGAGATCTTGAAGAAGCGGTCGTACTTCTCGCAGGGGCTCCCGACGCCCTTGTAGAAGGCTTTCAGGGGGATGTGCGTGATGTTGCGGACGTCCAGGGAGGGGGGGTCCCAGCCGTTGCCTCTGACGCCCGTGTTGAGCCAGTCCTGGGAGCCGTTGGGACCGCAGGCGTGAGGGCCGCTTCGAGTGGGTTGGCAGGCTCCCTTTGCGTTTGGGTTCAAATCGATACGTGTGGTGTTGGTGGTGTTGGTGGTGTTAGTGGCGGCGCTCGCGAGGCTGGCCAAGACGATGCATGTGGCCTTGCTGGCGATGCTGGCCATGGTGGACGTGTGCATGGCGATGTCGTCCAAGATGTGGTGGTGAAGAGAGCTCGTGGCCCTTGGGTCGAGTCGCAACAGGCTTCCTGTCAGGTGGAACCTGGAGGTTTTTTAAATAGCATTTTTGAAGATATTTTTTTCGTGCCGACTGGACAAAAGTGCCCTCGGGCAATTTACCCGTAGTCAGTTGTTCGTGTTGCGACAGTCTTGCCGCCATGATAGGGCTTGGGTGTTGAATGCGCCACTGGTTGATGACCGGCAGTCGAACAGGGTTCAGTCTAGCAGACCCGGCACTTGAAGAAGCCTTTTAGAGACTTGAGTCTACAGTCAAGTACTAGGATTCATCCCAATTAGGCAAGAATACGTGACGGAGGACTCGGCCGAGTTTGGTGGCGTGGCCCGTCTAGAAGCCATGGAAACAGGGATGAGGCCTGCGCTGCCTTTGTGCAGTTGAGCAAGACGGCCATTTTGGTATTTCCATGACTCTGAATGATTCATGCTTCATGCTTTATGCCTTGCAACGAAGATCATGCAAATTTGCGGCATACGCCACGGCTTTGCCTCAATGCTCCTTGTTTCAGTTTGTTCCAAGGAACAAAATGGCCCCCGACATTTAAGAGCACCAAAGCCCGACCTTTGAAACTTTTAAGCCTGTAAAGAAGGAAGAAAATCTTAAACCATTAGCAACACGCCGGCCTCCAGCCTCTCCAACAACGATGCGCTACGCCGTCTCAGCCGCTGTCGCCCTCCCCGCCTTGGCTTCGGCCTACCAACTCCCTCCCAAGCTGAGAGCCATCTATGATGCCCACAAGGTTCGTCCGCCTGCCCGTCTTACGCAATGCACACTAATGTCGTGACGACTTGCAGAACGGCAGCTGCTCCTCGCCGCTGTCGAGTCCCATGACCAACGGCACCGTCTACTGCGGCGACCTGGCCAACGCCATCTTCCTCAAGAGCAGCGATGGATACGACGACATGGACATTGACTGCGACGGGGCGAATAACTCTACTGGCGACTGTGCCAACGACCCCACTGGCCAGGGGCAGACGGCTTTCATGGATGAGGTTTCGCAGTTTGGCATCCCGGACTTGGATACCCATATCCATCCCTACGTGGTGTTTGGCAACGTCGACGGCTCGCCGACTTTTGTCCCGCAAGACCGCGGCATGCGGCCGCTCAGCGTCATGGCTGTTGTCTGCGACAATCAGCTGGTATGTTTGCCCCTTTTGTTGCCGACGAGTGTGTTGATGTCCTGACCGAGTGCAGTTCTACGGTGTCTGGGGCGACATCAACGGAGGAAACTTGACGGGCGAGGCGTCCATTTCCCTAGGCAAGTTGTGCTTCCCCAAGGAAGGCCTCAGTGGCAACAAGGGCCACGATACCAAGGATACATTATATATTGGGTTCCCCGGGGACAAGGCGGTCATTGGCAAGGACGGTGCCAACTGGCGGGCGAACAGCACCCTGAGCTTCATGGATAGCATCAAGACTTTGGGGGATGAGCTTGTCGCAGGGTTGCCAGGTTCAGATAAACGTATCCGATGCGGCTTCACAGAAGAGCAGTAGCTGTTGCGGATAGAAAGTTGACCAAGACAGTTATGTTGCCAATTCCTCCAACGTGCAAGGGAGCCTCTTAGGTTCGGTAGAGTATACTATTGGCTCGAGACTTGTCGCGGATCGTAACGGGATTTGAACAATGCCTTGGCCCGCCGGAGCAAGTTGGTTCCAGCATGTTGTGTGCTTTGAATCTCGCTTCATCTCTGCGACGGATGCAGTCTTCCAAGTCCCTGGAGGTGAGGTCAATGCAGATGAGTAGAACGACATGGAACGACCCGCGGGTTATCCAGGGGCGCGAGTCTTGTTCACTCGACGCTTCAATATTGCACGTGGGCAATTTGACTTCCAGCCAGTGGTGCAATTCCCCGGGCGGCCATCAATTACTTTTTCTTTCCCACGCTGGCGGCTGACTCCTTCCTTCCCTCCCTCCCTCCTCCTCATCCGCTACTTTTCCCTAAAGTACCTAGGTACTTGCGTACTGACATGACATATGTAAGTACATACTTAAGTACTTATGTTTCGGTTTCCCACGTGCCTCCCGCTAGCATTAACCATGGAAATGGTCCTCTCTCGCGTCCTTCTCGTCTCGCCCCCTCCCGCCAACCAAAAACTCATCCTTCCACGCAACATCGACCAAATTCAATCTTGATATAGCAGAATGCACAATCCGTACGTAGCGAGCAAAATTGCAACACCCGTCTTGAGCAACATCGTCGGCAAGATTACACTCGCATGGAGCAAATCAGCAATAGCCGTCTGAAGAAACAGCGTCCGTCACCAGCAGCATCCGTATCCAGCAGTCCGGCAACAGCCGTCTTGAACAATACCATCCTACATAATCGCTCGCATCAAGGCCCTGCTCTAGGCATGCCTGGTCCGCCGCCCCCTAAAGGGGCTCTTCATCCCTCCGTCGTGGCGTTGCGGCACATTTTGGGCTATTCTGATCATTCACTCAACAACCCCTGGGCCTTGGAGGACACCAACTTGGGTATGGTATTTAATCCTTCCAATTCACTGTTGGACAGGGAAACCATGTTCGTCGAGCATGTCATCGATTTCTATTCGGCGAAACTGAAGCCATCGTCTTCTCTGAATTGAAATCAGAGTTCGATTCCATTCTTCAAGGTCGAGAATATCTTCTAGTCTTTCACGGCGCTCAAGAGGATATGAGGATCCTGCAACAGCTTGATATCGGCCAACAAGCACGCTATATTCTCGATACTGTCTCGGTGTCGCGATTCCCTTTCCAGCTTGATTTTAGACCTAGCTCAGAGAGGCTTCTGGATTTACTGGAAATTCGCTTCTAATTCGCTTCTATAACTTACATGCCGCTGGGAATGATGCTCATTTTGTACTCAAGGCTCACTGATGCTTGCAGTTCAAGACTCCCGAACCCAGCATGTGGTCCCAAGCAAAGCCGTACTCGAAGTACTGGTGGCCCTTGAGGAAACCCCTCGCTCTCCCATTCCAGCTCGAAAGCCCATACCACCAGCAAAACCCCCAAGGGTCAAACAGCCAAAACAACCCAAACAGACCAATATGGCGCGCACAAGAATAGGGAGCGGAGAAGACTGGAGCGAGAAGATGACGCGTTGGAATTTGCTGCCAGGGCCAGCGACAATCTTACCATTCATGAAAAGAGCGGCATGGTGCTTCACAACTTTCCTTTGGGCCCTAGTTGACAAGCACGGGTGCTTGTTTGACCACGACCTTCCTTTATAGGTAATGACACAAACTCCCCTTACAATTTCAGAAAATACTCCAGCATAGCCGGGTATTTGGGTGTTCCCAGCCCGGTGACGGGGTCCCAGCCCTCAACAGCAGAAAACCCTTTGTTGCCGCAGGCGCTGGGCTGGCCGTCGCCGTTGGGCCCGCCCTTGGACTGGTCGCCCCTGACGACATCGGTGAACATGGCCGGGTTCTTGTACAGGGCCGGATTCGCAAAGCCCACGGGCTTCTTGCCGGCCTTGATGCGCTCCTCGTTGATGCGCGTCAAGATGGCGCCGACTAGGGGGGCGCTCATCGACGTGCCCCCCGAGGTGCTCGGCTCGCCGTTGACCACGACGACACCATTGTCGCCGAGGGCCGCGACATCGGGATACCCGCGCCCGGCACGGTTGTAGATGCCGCCCGTGGTCGGGATGGTGCCGTTGGCGGTCGTGTAAGACTTGTAGCCCGGGCCGTGCTTGGAGAAGTAGCTTGCGGGCGTTTCTTGTTAGACTCGCAACGAGGACGAGGTGTGCACTGTGGTATCACCAATCATCAACGTACCTAGAGACGGCATCCTTCTGGTAGTCGGGGGTGGACCAGATGTTGCTGAAGCCGCCACCCGAGGAGAAGGTCTCGGTAGCAATCTCCTCCCCGCCGGCAAGGAGGACGGTAGACCCGACCGAGGTCACGTAGGGGCAGCTGGCTTGCTGGCTGGGGGTGAAGATGTCCCCCTTGGGACCGAGGCAGGACCCTGATCGTCGGGCAACTCCGTCGTCGCCGCTCGACAAGACAATCGAGGTGCCCTGGAGACCGAGCTTCATGAACTCGTCGCATTGGCGCTGCAGCTTCATATTAGTACAGGTGTTGGTGAAAACAGGCGAGCCTCTTCTTCGTACCTGAAGGTATTTCGTCGGATAGTCGGCCTCGGCGGTGCCGTAGGAGAACGAGATGACGTTGGCGGCTTTGAAAGTGCCGCACATTTCATTCGGCGTGTTTCCGTCAACAGTAGGGTCGTCGCCGGGGTCCTTGCAGTAGCTGCCGTCCACGGCATCAAGGAAGGTGTTGAAAATGTCGTCGTTCTTGGTAGCAGCTTCGTACAGCTCCGTTCCCTGGGGGTAAATAAGGGGAATGGCGATTTCAAGGTCCAGATCAGACTCGCCGCCAGCACTTTCCGGGCTGACGGGAGCCACGGCGCCGTCAATCAGGTCGACCTTGGGTCCGGTGCCTTTTGGAATGTTTGTGGCATACTTGGCGTAGAACGAGTCCAAGTCTTCCTGGGAGAAGGCGTCTTCGGATATCTCGAAGATACCCATGCGGTTTGAGGCATCGTGCAATGTGCCGTCGGTGATGTTGTATTGAGACTTGATGCACGCGGGTGTGATGTACTTGGCGCAGTTATCGGTAGAGTCTTTGCGAGGAATTTGTCAGTCTTGGTGGGCATCTTGGGCTTTTTGAATGCGCTACAGACCAGGATGCGCTGCCAGCAATTTGGCAACTTCAGCCGACAGCGGCTTGTGAGGTCTGATGATGCGGCCATCATTTCGCTTGACCTTGTTTGAGGGCTTGCTTGTCTGTGACATGACGACGGCGGGAGTAATAAAGTCTACGAGGTCTGAGATTTCGTTGGGGAGCGAGTACTCATCCGTGCCTATGTGGGCGTTTCGAGCCTGGATGTGGTCATACATGTGGTACTTGGTCTTGAGAATTGACTCGAGCTGTCCGACTGTGGACTGAAAGTCGACCCAGCCCTTGCTCTGGGGGAATGTAATCTTGTCGGCAGAGACACCAGACTTGATCAGCCAGCTCCTGACAGCGCTGATGGAACTCTCATCAGGGGCGAAGAGCTCAACGACCTGGTCCTTGGAATAATGCTGGCCATACTTGGCAGAGGAGGGATCAGAGCTGTGAGCAGGTCAGAAAAGTAAGAACCCTTCCAAGAGTGATGTTTTGATATTTTGATATTTTGAATTATGCCACTTACACGGCAAGGAGGTAGTCCATGCCCTTGTCCAGGTTCTTCTGCTTCAGAGCAATTCTCACGGGGACCTTGGTGTTGGCATCGGCAGCTTCACGCTTAGTCCATCGACCACTGGACACATCGCGCTTTTCGTGGATAGTGTTTGAACCGGTTGGGACGGCGATGGCTCCGGCAAAAAGGCCGTTGAGAAGAATGAGGCTGATCTTCATCCTGACTATTTCTATAACAACACACAACTGTGTTGATTGGATATAGTGTTGGAGATGATGATTCACGAAAGAAACATCCATGAGTGAGGAATTTGGTCCCTTTTATGCTCGAAAAAGCAACTATCAGAGATGAATCGTCATGTTCCTGGGATTGCTCGTCATCACGAAGCCCACCACACCCCGGTATACAGTCATGGTCTTCCGAGGGCACATCAACGAACCAGAGCATCATATTACATTCATCTGCAGCGCATATTCCTCCGACCTTCCCAGTCGGTGAGAGAACAAACGATGCCATTGTTAGCTTCCGTCCTTGGCAAGCACTTCGAAACGAGAGAGTACAACGCTAGTATCTACACCTCGTATGCCTAGGGGAGCAAGTCATATGCTCATATTGTGAAGACAACAGAACCCCTTTGAGTAATGAGACTAACCTTTGGCCAAACAGTCGGAGCCCAAAGACAAATCATCAAGGCAGAGGACCTTCCGTGTTAAGAAACGCTGCCACGGAAGCCCGACGGGGTCATTAGCCGACGGAGTAAACAAGACGTCCAGATGACGATAACAGGATATGGACTCGTATTTTGCAGTACTAATCTCCAAAAGCTAGGCCGGTTTCCAGTCGGGATCGATAGGGCAAGCACCGCGAAGGTGACATGGCCCACGTCTCTGCAAGCCAATGACGTATAGGGAGCGACATACAAACAGAAAGGCCACTTGGACGAGGTGACGGCTTGGGCATGGTGGGCAGGTCCATGGCAAAGGGTCCGGAATCGGCGCTATCTGGAAGCTGTTATCTACAGTATATGAACCCGTACGGGGTGGACTATTCAGGCATGTGAAGCGTCGCGATATGGCCTGTTAGCGAACCATCCGAACAACAAGACGGCGAGGCACACGATCAATCAGAGCCTTGAACGGCAACGTATCTGGGAGCCCAATGCAACATGGCCAGGTTAGCACGCCGAATGACAAGCCCAAACACCAAGGAAAGAAAACGACGTGTAATCGTGTACATTAGACGTTGGGCTCAGCATCTTCCCTTTTGGGGCCGGCCTACGTCGCTGCGTCGCATCGTACACGACGTCGCCCAACATCCCATCTTTCGTTAGAATGGCGTCAGTGATTGAAATGCGATTGTCTGTTTTCCATGGACAATCGTGTTGCGCACCGGGCGTTTCTTCATACCCCACGTATGAATGAAACGGTTCAACTCCCTCGACAACTCCAGCCTCTCACAACCGGCGATACTAGATGTCAAAGGGTCTGGTTCAAGTAAGCTTTTTCTCCAACCTCGAGATGGATCACCAGAGGAATCGTGCGGAGCAACCGAGGGTCTCTGGCCGTTGGAGGAGCGCCACATGTCAGCGACTTCGGAAACACACAAGCGCCTTCTCCTGACCTGCTTGAAACGAAAGGATGTCAGCAGATTGGGAAACTCACGACACAAGGGGATAGTACCTAAGCGAATCGACATAAAAATTGCAGTTGTAATGAGGAAGGTACACCGGACTTCTCAGGACACGTGCGCATACACAGAACCCGGTACTCTGACGGCATCCTCCCCCAGCGCCAGGAGGAGACGAGTCCAGGAGGAGACGGTCGAGTTGGAGAATTTGAGAGTTGCAAGAGTGCTATGGTTCTTGCAGCAAGCGGTCCAGCAAGCAGTCGCAGACTCCCAGATGCGGTTCCATGCAACATTTCCAACGCCTCCCGGATGCAACGCTGTCCGGATTCACGATGCCGCATAGCCGACGCAACTCTGCCAAGCCGGCTCAGCAAGCCAGGAAATCCCCGCTTGTGGACCATTGGAACATCAAGAACCGTTGGAGTTCGTCTCGTCTCGTGTGTCTCGCAAGACCTCCTTCTTCATTCAGCCCTAGAAGCGGGTGAATGACCGTCCATGAATCGATGATTAGCGACGCGCGTTATCTTTCTGGACGAACCCCCCCCCCCCCTTTTTTTTTTTTTGGAGAAACCATGTACGGGCTGAGGGGAATTGCAGACATCCGCTTGACTGCGAGAGCCTGTTTGTCGTCGATTACGCTGCCTCTTTCGAGATGAAGGGATAGTTTGGTCCTCTCATGGGAATGGCGGCGCTGACTAGAGCTTCGACAGACAGCCTGCGCGCAGAGCCGGGACTAGTTTTCAATGAAGTGATTTGTTTATGGCGTGAAAGCCCATCTAGCCACTGACGAGCCACGCTTCCGTCCTGTTTTCTGTATATTTCCCTTGTGCTGTCCAGTGTCAACCACGAGTGTGTGACGTTATAATCCCACATTAGTTTACCATTGGCCTACTCGCGCCTCTGTCAAAACGTAGTCTCGGTTATTGGCTTGAACGTAAATCTCAAAACTGAAAAGCCGTCTTTTCCAGACGAGCAGTCGCATGGACGGCCAGAGCTGCATGTCCAGATACGTGTGGGAGAATCCGGATTGGCATTCGAGACGAGCACGCACAAGATTGCTGGATGTTTAACGCTGTAGAGTAAGGCTTCATCGGCATAAAAAACCTGGAAGCCGAAAAGAAGCTACACAACCCAGACTGTCATTGCATCCGGAAACACCAGGTCGGCACCTTGTTGATAGAGGTGAGTCTACATGGGAAGCACACGACTATAAATTTGTGTCGACATAACCATTCCTTTCAAGAGATGCTCAAATCTACCAGATACTAAACAGCCTGAATATGGCCGGGTGTATCTCTAGGGACGTTCAACCGTGGACCGTCGTCGCCGGCACATGTTGATGAAAACACGTCAGGCCCGAGGAATATTTAGCCATGGTCCCAAGGCAAACAGCGAACCAGACGCTGTCACCATTCCACACAAGCCAAACCGATGTAAAGGCCAACGACTCCAGGACCTGAAAACGAAATGTTCACTTCGCACTCGTCGGTATAGAAGCCATTGAAGCGCTATGTGAACAGCCAAAAATGGTTGCAAAGAGCACAACCTCCCGGCCCCCCTACAAGTCTGCAGATGTTGATCACACCTTGCACGAATAGAGTTGTCTCCGTACCGTAGCTCAAAATCTTCCGCGGCTCCGTCCTATCCACCACTTACACGCTTCCTCACGACGCCGGCCAACTCTGCAAAGTACAGTAAATACCATCACCCTGACGTACTTCCTCGTTGTCACGATGAGAATCAGGAGGCAGGGATGGGTACCGATCCTGCTGCAGCCGTCATTCTTGCAGCACCTTCCTTGGAGCAATGCCATTGCATCCATGCCACCTTTTACATTCGCTGGCCATTTATACGAGCACATGACATTAAGCAGTAGCCTACTCTCAATATTTATGATCAAAAAAAAGCAAAGTCAACTCAAGCGATATTATTGCCATCGACACGAAACTACATCACGTCCACCCGATCGAAATGAACTAACATCCTTCCCCAATACCGCTCCAACCCAATCTGCTTGGCCACGAATCTTGCACCAATGCAATAATGACAACCAGAGATTGCACAAGGCTGCAGGCCAACAGGGCCAAAAACAAAACAAAAAGGAAAAAAACGGCCCATCAACTCTGTCCCAAATGATTCCTCCAAGTCAAAAGAACAATGGCGTTCATCGTGTACCAAACGCTCATCAAAAATAAAAACCCCCAAAACCTCGTCCTTAGTCCTTAGTCCTTGCAAAACCACAAGCACACGACTGGTTTCTCACGTGGATTCCCAGTCCTTGTGGCATCCCAACCAATTTCCTTGATCGACTTCTTCACAAGATCCTTGTTTCCGCCATTTACCTCCAGACCTTTGTACCATTTCCCACCACCAGCGCTCTGGATCTCAAACACCTTGTTCTTCTTCGGCACGGGGTTAGTACAGCCAAATCCTTTGAGCAACTCCTCGAAGGTCGTGTTGCAAGGGATGTGGACGGCTTTGAAGGGAAGCTGGGCCGTCGCGGGCAGCTGCCAGGGGGGAATGTTGGATCGAAAAACATGAGCCTTGGTGTGCTCGGCGGCAAAGAACAGGTTATAGCCGGGTTCGCAACCCACGCCTCCTGTTGAGTTAGTCATTTGCGCGGCGGGCATCGTGGGATCGATCGCAGGCCAAGGCTGCGGCTGGCGTGGGAGGATATTTCCTGTTCCGTTGGGCTGATATGAAAACGTCTGTTGAGTGTAATACCCGCCTGCTGGGCCGGCCTGGGGCCCATAGCTAGCAGGGTACACTCCCGGATTTGCTAACGGGGGCATAGTGTAAGAGAATCCTGCCCACGTATTGTAGTGAGGTACTGTACCAAAATTATATCCCGGCCCGCCAGAATGAAAGATATAAGGCTGGCCTTGGCTGGGGAGAGGGGCCCCATAAGGAGCATGGTTCGGACGTGTGCCGCTTGGGTCACGGCCGGTGACGGGGTTCCAACCTCCAGACATTTCGTACACGCTGTCGTCAGGTGTGGTCTAAGGGGAGGCGTACGATGATGAGATATTCAAAGTATTCAGAACAGAGGTTGCCAGGTATGGACCCAACGACCTGAGCCAACGTCGAAGCTTGCCTGCCAGTGACCGGGAACTGGCCCTTGAGAAACCGGATCCCAAGCCGGCGGAGCAATATACGTGGCAATAGGAGCTGCCGGTGTGGGTAGAAGAAATGGATGAGAGTAGGCTGTGTGGGAGACTGGCAAGTCGACGTTCAGATTCTCTTCTACTGCCGAACCGGTCACTATAAATCGTTAGCAAAATGGGTCAATCGGGTATGGTTCGAGATGAGGCAGACACAGATGAAAGTAACGCAAGGCCACCACGAGGAAGAGCGAGCAAACTGGTGACATTGCGGCATCATCTCGGTGCTACTTACCAGAGTCTGATTCTTCTTCCTCGCCGTCGTAACAAGAATCTGTAGACTCGCTGACGGAATCACCAGTAGAATCACCGCCGTCCGAGTCCGACTCGTTGTCAATTCGGCTGATCAGTATTTCTGTGCTCCAGATAGGTCGACCGTGACGATCGTAAAAAGCACCGACTATGATCCACGCACAGGTGAAAGTCTCGTCGCAAGTCGCAAAATATTGTGTGACAACGAGCTTGGCTGCAGGAAACGGAAGGAAATGCTCGTCGACTTCAATGGTCCTATGCTGGACACGAGGCGAAGCAGGCATCAGGTTAAAGTAGTTTGCACACGAAAACGAGACCGATATTGGAATCAAGTCTCCGTTTAAAAGTGACAGATACAAGGGATGATAGAGAGGAGATAAAACGCAATTCGATGTACACAGGTTACTCGGCCCCTTTATCGTGCGTCAGAGTCGAGAGTACGGATAAGAGATCTGGTAGTCAGACGAGGGCTGGTCAAGACAATTGATTCAGAGTCAGGTTTCTGACGATCAAGTCGTGCCAGTTGTTAATCAGCCATGGAAATACGTCTTCCGGAAGGCATCCAATCACCCGACTGTCATCTGTGAGTAGATCAGATGGCTCATCCAACTGGATTTTCCACCAGACGTGTCTTTATACGCCCCAGCAACGTCCCACGCAAACGAACGTCTGTCATTGAAGCAAGTTGTACTGCCAGCTGAAGCAAAGATTCAGAGTTGCCAGCCAGGAATGTACTAGTGTGCTTGTGAGATACAATCACTTCGTCTCACAGAGATAGGGATTGGCCAGCAAATCAGTTCAACAGACCGCACTCGCACCATTGAGTTTGCTGGGTATTGGGCCAGACTTTTCTGCGTAGGCGTGTGGAATGGTATGGTATTAACATTATCATTTGCTATTCGTCGCGAGTCTGGGTCAGAACATTCTTGCCCGGCGCCTGTACGTTCCTGCCCATCAGGAGAGAGAAATCCCGTTAATCATCGTCGCTATCCGCAGTGACGACGCGTACTGCCCCGGCTTTCTTGTGCCTGGTAGCTTCGATTTCTTTCTTCAACTGCTGCCGTCTCTCGACCTCAGTCACCAGTCCTTTGAGATATACCTCGGATTGCACGGTGGCGCTGTATGCAGCAGGAGTCCAGTTCCAAATGTTTCGTCTTTCTACGTCGGCTCCGGCTGCGAGGAGAGTTCGCAGTCCGAGTAAATTCCCATTGCTGCTCGCAAAATGTAAAGCTGTATTGCCTTCCAAATCGGCCCGCTGGACCGCTTCACGTGGACCGCCCGGCACATAAGTCAAAAGAATCTGGAGCGCAGTATCATGGCCGCCCATGCTGGCCTCCATAATGGCGTCACGGCCTCTGACATCTCGTCGCAAGATGCAGCTTCTGTCATATTCGCAAAGTAAATGCACAACTTCCGAGTGTCCAGCGGAGGCAGCCAGCATCAAAGCTGTTTGATGATTGTCGTTCAGGGCAGGGCAGGGGTCCTCGTGGCCGGCTTTCAATAGAGCCTCACATATGTCCTTGTGGCCGAGAGATGCTGCTAGATGTAGGTTCGAGTTGGATAGCCCGGGTAGCGATGAATCGGGGTTGTGGAGGAGAGGTGGATGAGACTTGAGGATTCGTATGGCAAGGAGGCTGTCTCCTACGTGAATGGCCCGTCGCAGACGAATGGCCGGGTCGATCCTGGAATGGAAATTCAGGGTTAGCCACGGGATTCATGCATTGTATTGAGAAAAGCAGCTCACATGGCGGGTAGTGTCTCATGACGCGAAACGGGCTTAAGGGTCTGGGGAAGATGGGAGTATTGAGCAGAAGACAGTTGTGAAGATGATGACAGCTGCAGCCGACGAGCATCAGACACTCAGATCCACGTGGAGTCACGGAGCTTCGCCCCCCGCGTCGACAGGGAGGCCCTGTTTCACATGTTAAGTGTCAACTTGCTCCCTACAACGACGCAATTCGCAACACAGGTCTTGAGAATATAATGCAGGGATCCAAAAGCCATCAATTCGGTGCCCTTTACTTTGATACCCCGATGAATTATTACTATTTTTTGCGAATGCGGTGTCAAGTTACACTCCAGATCGCGTTGGACACACTAGCAAGCAGCTAGAGACGACGTCAACAGAGCAGGCGCTGTCTCTCACGGCCATCACATAATCTAGAGCTGCGCATAAAAAACTCCACGTACCCGAAACATACTGTCAGGCTGGTAAGATAATCTTCTCATCTAACTCTATTGAACTAAAAAAAAAAAAGGTTTGTACTCAATCACTCTATACTATGTACGTGAACTAATCATGACATCATCAGATCGCTCATGGCCATCACTTCGTCCAAAGTCCAAGAAACAAGGCCAATCGGCTCCAAACCCGCCCAAAAGTCATCTATGCAAAAAGTTCATTGATGTCCCGCTTAGCATTGCGCTTGATACCACACTTGTTCAGACACGTGTCAATCCCCAAGGCAACATTAGCAGGAATCGTGCCCCGGAAAGACTCAATGTCTGCACCATTCAACGACTGCACACCACCGAGTGTCGAGCTCACAATGTCAGGCCGCAGACTGAAAAAATTCTGGGCAATAGTCTGAACACCAGGATCGGCGTTGTTGAATCCAGCAACAAACACGGTATCCGTGCAGTCGGGGTTGAACTCAACATGGATAGCACCCTGAGGAAACACAGCCATCTGGAACTTGGTCAATGTGTTTGAGACGGGCGTGGCGCCGTTTTCCTCGACGAAATTGGTGACGAGGCGGCCCTGAGCAACAAAGTTGAGCTCAGTGGCGCGATTGTGAACGTGTGGAGTGTTCATGCCGCAGGGCCCGAGGAAACCAACAGTCATGGCGGCACCGTTTCCAACGAGGGCAGGGAACGTCTTGGATGTGGCAGCGACGGTGGCGCCGCCTTTGCCCTTGGCTTCAGAGCCAGCTACCGTGTCGTCAACGTTGAAGTCGAAGACAAAATCGCCGGGCTGGTCCAGGAGCTTGAGCCGGTCAGCCTGCGTTGGGGCAGTCATGAGCTTGGCGATAAGGTCGACGTTGTCGGCGCGAGTGTTGACCTTGACGACGGGAGGGATGACGGCATTGATGTCGGCACCAGAATCTCCTGCTCGCTTGGAGGGAGCAGCGGTGGTGACACCAGCCAAGAGGATGAGAGAAGAGAGGGCAGTCAGATGCATCTTTGGATAGATAGATGAGTGTGTAAGAGTTGTGTTGGGAGGAATTGGAATGCTTTGAAGAGGTTTGAGGCTCAGACGATAATGTAGATGGATTCAGTTCGTTCGATTCATGGGAAGAGCTACGGTCTTATATCATGCTGCCCATCACAACGATTCTACAGACTTGCACGGCCTACTCCATTTTGCAAGGACCCAACACAGCAAGGACATCATCTATCAGAATAACTTGTATATCTGCCGCAGCTATTCCCATGTCCAGCAATGCAACAATGCAACAATTCAACAATGCCTGGACCCATTTCCAAAAACAGAAAATCTGCCCTGCAAAACATTTCTACAACTCCAATTGGCTGGCTGGATTTGTTTCCTGACTGTAGTGGGTTGCTTATCCATGTGGCTCAGGTCGGCTGCGTCTAAGATCAGCATAATAAGCATGGCTGAGGGTCGACGGGAGGACAAATAGCCGCGCTCTTAGCGGTCTTTTGTTGTCAGCTCCATGTCATCCTTCATCCTGTCATCCTGTCATCCATGTCCCGGATCGCCGGGAAGGAATTTTGTTCATGTTTACACGTCCATGCGGCTGGGGCTGACGACGGTGTTCTAGGTTTCCATTGTGCTGGCACAAAGGGGCTTCGCAATGTCCACATGACAACGGGGCCTAAGAACTTGACTCGTTTAAACTTGGTGCTCAGCATCGCCGTGGGGAATATCATTTCATTCCATACTTGCTAGCCACAATACATACATACAATGCTCAATGTTTGAAGCCGACATTTGAGTTGTATCTGGCTCAATTTCCAGAAACATGGGCGGGTGTCGATCTCCCCTCATGATCACCAGAGCTTGCTGTCCGTCTTGGCGAGTCAGTTGACAGCATTCGGCGCTCTCCGGTTGAAACATGCATCTCAATAAGCATTGATATGGACCTTGATTCAGACAATGATTACCTTTGCATGTTTGCATGAGGTGCATTCGGATAGCTGTTTCCCGTGTCAAGGACTCATGGTTGGCAGCACAGCCTCAAAACGGCACCAGAAAATAGAACGGAAACAAAGTATCCGGTTGGTGGATCTGCACAACGTGGACTGCTCTCCTCCCAAGGTAGAGTGGATCCTCTCCGCCAAAATTTCAACATCTGTCAACAGAAGCACTTTGATCAAACGTCAGATGTCGAAAACACGTACCCGCCACGGCCCGAAGTAATACAAAAGTTATCAGCATAGGGTACGTCGATGCGTATTGTCTATTTCCCTTCAGCGCGAACAGCGAGATGCGCGTTTCGAGGCACGATATGAGGATGACCAAGCGCCTGTACCCGAAATTTACGCCTTGAAGCATTTGCGAACGCCATTCAACGTCAATCCATCGGACTGAACAAAACTGCAGCTGGCAGCATCAGCGAATCTTGAATCCAGGCCAATCCCGGCGCATTGAGAAATGGCAGACATCCACAAATGGCCCCTTTCATTTTGAAGGTACACCCAATCCATTTATCCAAGTTGGCAGGGTCAGAGATACGCGGCATCAGCCTATTCTTTTTTTAACCCGCAAGAACCCAAACGATTGGACATGTCGTGGACAGCGACATTCCTCAGACAAGAAAGAGCATCGCGACATTGGGTTCTTCTTCACGTAGTCCATCTCTTGACTGCGGGCAGCATTATCCATCTCCCCAGCTCTAGATGCGTGGTTTCCAGTAAATTATCCGACACGGTACTCCGTAGCTTGTTCATATCTTAAAGTATAGAAATCCCTCGCAAGGAGCGAAGGTGCACATCAAGGTCAATCATCCAACGCAGAACGTGAATATACGACTATCAGAAAGCCAGAAATAGAGTCCACTAGTCCCTAATTCTACTACTTGTTCACCTAATCAAAACTTCCGCTTTACATAGCTCTCTTTGTAGGCGGCGAACAACCAGTCTTTCAGACGGTGCCAGCCCTTAATGCGACTATAAGCGTGGTCCATGAATTCTTCGACATTGAACTCCTCTGCCCAGGGAGTCGGTTCTTGACCCTGAAGTAAACGTATCGCATTCATCGTCCAGGTAATACAATTCTCACTACTGCCTTCGACTGGTGCCGGAACCTGACGTAGAAGAGCCTCGATCTCGCGGTAACCCTTGCCGGCCGGGAGCTTGCCAATCATTATCCGCCCGATCAAACGCCGGCTAGATTGGGCATCAGAGTTGCGCGGCTCCATTTTCCAGCCTCCAGGAATTACGCCCTCTGCGCTGTTCATCGACGGATGCTCTTCCACGTGATACAGGCGTCCCGCTCCTGGGGTGTTCTTTGGCTCTACCCAAATACCCCAATGATACATGGCGTGGCCATAAGTTGTCTCCAGGGAAGGGTCGTCAGAGATGCCATCGCGTCTGAAGCCTGCAACCGAAACCCGATACTTGCCGCCCGGCATGACGAAGCGAAGGCTTATACCTAGGTTAGGTATTTGAATTTCATACTAAAAGGGATATCGGACACACCGGAACTCACTTGGAGAGGAAATGATGAAAGATAACGGGGATGTTTCGGAATTTGAAGGCGTAGGGCTGCGAGCCACAGCTCAGGACGTGACTGGTGAAAACGAGACTTCAACCACTTGTATCTTTTAAATACCTCTGTGTGACAGGCAATAATAAGGCAAAATATTGCGCAGTGACTGGTTACACTTTTAAGAAAACTTAACGCAGTAGGCCTGAGTGGCGTTTTATATACCTATGGACTCTCTCGGAAAGATTCTGCGTCCCAACCTTTTGGCCGGCAGCACTTGACTTCTCAGAGACCCAAGGCAGCGTGCTTATGCAACAAGCCTGTTGGTTATAACGTCTCCTTGATGTTACGTAACGCCACCCAAGGCGCTTCACGAAACGTGAACGGCAAGTATTCCAACCCCAGGCCTATTCTAGGGGCGGTATCATGCACCTTTTCAAGTACTATCAGGCCTTTTTTTTTAGAAATATAATCGAACTTGCCGCCCTGCCAATGTATCGCATCCCCTCCCACCAACCCCTCGTCCTGGGGTGCTTAATTGTGCTATGTCGTCTGTAAACCCGACATGGAGCGGCTTGGCAAAAAGGGGCTTAGGCTAGCTATCTCCTGGCCACATGCACCAGATGTGCAGGAACAAGGCACCGGGCTTCGACGTTACACTGCTATGCTAGGGTCGGCGCCTAATAAGTTAGTGGGGCGCGAGCGCCTAGGTGTTGCCTTGGAGCTAGGGCGTTAAATTGTCAAGTGCTCCAGTCCATATTTGTTCTAGAAATGCTTTGCACACACGCTTGTTGGTTGAGCTCTACGTTTTCATGTTTTCCTCTCTAATCCAGCAGCTGGCGCAAAAAAAGAAAAAACATGGCGCCCTCATCCTCATCAAGAACTACCATCGCTCCCCGGCGCGTGGTGATGCGATCAGACAAGTTGCCCGTATCCCTTCGATTGCGCATCTGGGCCAGCCAGTACCTCTGGCCTGGCAGGAATCGAGGAGGGATGGGGAATGTTGTCCGCCTACCATTCAAAAAGGTCATTAAGCTTAATGCCTCCCGAAACGAGGTGGAAGCAATGGAGTATGTTCGCACCAATACGTCGGTGCCTATGCCGAAGGTGTACAAGGTATACGAGCGGCCTGATGGCGCTTTCAACATTCTCATGGAACAACTTCCAGGCAATGGTATCGACTACGCGAATATGAGCCCAGAGCAAGTTCGGGCATTTGGCGATGAGCTTGCCGGTTATCTTAATCAATTACGGAGCCTCAAACCACCTGAGGAGGGCTTCATCGGGTCGATAGATGGAAAATCGTTGATGGACCATCGGATTGGCAATCTTCCCTTCGGGCCCTTCCACAATGTGGACGACTTTCATTCATACCTGCGCCTTGGTGGGCGTCTTGACGAATGGATGTACGACCCAGTGGTCAAGACAATTCATGGAAAGTCAAACGCATACCGCGTCAAGTTCACTCATGCTGATCTTAATCCGTTCAACATCCAATACCACAATGGAAAGATCAGGGGCATTCTCGACTGGGAAACTGCAGGCTGGTACCCTGAGTACTGGGAATACACCAAGATGTGGTTCGCCTATCGTCCCCCGTTTGAACCCTTCTTCAAGGCCGTCGAGGGCAACCCAAACATCGATAAGTATCCCGAGGAGCTCAAAGCCGAGCGGGATATATGGCGACGCCTTAGCCCATGGGCCTATGATAGCTTCTACGAACAGCCAAAAAACGTTGCCGCCTTCTATGAAGTTATAAATGCCGGGAAAAGTCAGAATGGAGATGACGCAACTGGTGATAGTGCGAGGTGATCCTGTGCTCGGACTGGCTCCCGGGCTACTGGAGAAACGGCCTGATAAGCGATTGCTTTCATATCCTAAACCGACATCAGATTCAGTGACACAAGTAGCGAGAGCTATGCATCTCTTTATTCTCGGGGTGCCGATGACTTCCACGGCATGCAAGAGCCAGGCAGGTTAGTTACTCCGGGTTGAATTGGGCTACAGATATCCGACCAAGGACGAAACGAGCGGATGCACGGAATGAAGCAGCCCAACTCGTCACTCACGAGATGAGACAACCCTGCGGCTTCCAGCCAGCAAGTCATGTACTTCACACTTTATCTTCGCCTCTTCATCCGACTCAAACCCACGAGCTTAGACAAGGACACTGCTCAGTGACTGAATTCTCTCGATACCAGTTCTCTGGCGGGTCGCCTAGACACTCCCCGACGGTCATTGCCAAACCATCCAGACGTCATATTATGGGACATGCTACACCGGGGAACATTTACGTGAATTTCCTTCCGCTTTGCTGCAACATGGGGATTGCATTGGGTACAAGCTGGTTAATTGTCGTGTTATGTACATGGCGCATTAAGATGTTAGATCCCGTGCTGAATACTGTCATGTACTTTCAAACGTCATCACATACCCCGAACCGGTGCATATGTAAAATTACTCTCGGCATGTTCTTATCGAAGTGAGGAAGCAGCCGCCGGGATGACGGCATGTACATTGCAGGGAACGTTCTTACAATTAGTTTCGAGTTCTTCTCAAGAAAGCTCAGGGTTAACTGCAACTTCCGCCTGATCCGTAGGCATCACAGTTGCCAGGTTACAGGCTCCTGCAGGCTCGAGGCAGAAGGCGAGAAGATGCTGCTCAAGTTCCCGCTTATACTGTTCCGCGGCTACAACAAAGTCATTTTCCTGTGTGGTAAGATCTTTACCATCAGTACCGGATGATATCTCTGCTATATCCTCCATTTGCAGCTGGACTAGAAGACGAAAGCTCTCTTCATCGAGGTCATACCGGTCCATTGTGGCGATTCGTGGGTCGCAGGCGGAAGTCAGGGGTTGAAGACTGTCTGGAACAGACGATTTGGGCTGTTTCTTAGTTAACAATAAGCAATCTCATGAGCCTGGGGCCTTTGGCAGGCTACTTAAGGATAATAAGACAATAGGATCGAGCGGGCTGCAAGTTGCAAGGAAAAACTTGTGGGAGTTGTGCAAGTTCGAAGGAAGTGTCGAGCCTCCCGAGGCAATCCAGCAACTGATGTTCATAGGCGTTTCCAGCAAACGAACCCGGAGAAGGAGCAACCCAAATTTACTCAACCCACCAACACCAACCCCAAGCACCATTCGATCGTTGGACTTGGCTTGTCCACGCGCACAAAAACACTACTCCTCCGACGGGCGACAATGGAGTTTTACTCTCAAGCTATATTTTCACTATCCACGAGCTCATCGTGTGGGTATCAGTTACAAGTCATCCGCCTTCTTCGCCTTTCTCACCATAGTCTTGTGCCTCTTGTCATGATACTTCACATCATCCGGGTACAGCGGGTTCCAAACAATATTACACACCTTGCACTCTGCAAACGCCGCCTTGGAGGAGATATTCAGTGTTGTTTGCACTGTCGGCGAACGCCCCGATCTTGTCCCAAGACCAGGCTTGATGTCCGATGAAGTGCTGTCCCTCCGTCCCTGACTCAATACACTGCCCTCTCTAGCATACAATGTTTTCCTTTTCCCATCCGGCGACGAGGCATTGCTATCTGTTTCGTCTCTGCCCGAGAGGCTCATAGCGTCTTCGGATTCGTCTGATGGCAGTGAAGTCGCTCTGATTCTTAGCAGTCGAGCCTTCCTTCGCCTTCGCACGACCCGCGAAAGCGCCGGCTCTGGGTTTCTATGCACGTCTCCCTTCTTTTCTATATGTTCTAGCTTCTTCATGTCGATCGGTACAGGCTTAAAATATTGTAAGATGGACGATCGTGTTGCTGCTTCGGCGCTAGGTAGCGGCGGCGACTCTTTTTCCAACTTCAAAGTTGAATCTGACTGCTCTTTCTTGGACGACGGATTTTGCATCGCTGGTAATTTCCTCTCCATGTTGATATGGGCTTGAGGCTCCACTCGGACCCTTTTTGCAGGTGGTTCACCTCGTGGTTCTGGCGTTGAAGCAGCCTTCCGCCCATAGGTTCGGAGCGGCTTGTCGCGCTTCCTTGACAAATAATGTGACATCCCCGGCTTCGTTCTGCAAAAGTCATGAGAAACTGCCCCAGTGGTCCATGAAAGGCAAGGATTACTTACATGGCATACTCTGGTGAAGAATTGATCATCATGTTGTGGCCAGTGGTGTCCAGCGCCAAGCTATGCGTGCAAAAAAATAAATCGCGTGAAACCATGAAAGGGCCGGCTTGTAACAGTATATTGCCTCAGGGAATAATGGCTGGTTTAGCATTTCATTTGAGAGAGATGATATCAAAAGATGATCGCGAAGAGAGTGTCAGGTCGTGAAGGGTGGTTGAATGACTGGCCCCACGCAACTTCTGGGAGACGCGACACGCGACGCGATGGCGACACAGAACCACTATACGCGATGTCACATGCAGGGGCTGAAAACGCGCAGCCACTGGACATTCAACTTCGTCTACGGAGTAGTAGTATAGGACTTCTGTTCAGCGGTACCACTCGGCCGAAATTCAGTAGCCGGTTGGCAAAGTATACAGACACTAAGCTTGAAGTGGTTGGTTAGCCCTCTATATTATATTTGAATTCTCGCTGCTTTAATTTGAAACCGTCGTAATCCTCTTCCTCACTGTGCCATTCGTGTCATTCTCCTTTTGCCGTAACAGCACCGTGTTGTCATTCTTATTATCGCCCTGGTCGTGCTCACCCACCACCCACGTATTAACAACTTGCTTGATTTCCTCGGCAGCCTTCTGCTTGTGCTTCGCCTGATCCATCCTCCACATGTAGCTCGAGTAGACTGCGACCTCCGCGACAGCCACGACTATACTTCCGCCCATGGTGAGAAATATTCTAGCTGGCAAGCTCCACCACCGTGATATCACCCACAGCGTCCCAGCTACTCCCAGGATACTGACGAGAAAGTTGATGATAAGCATGACTTGGCGATGGACATCACTAAGCGTTACATCATCATCGCCTAGATCCGAAGCGTTCATCGGGCGATTCACTTGGGAGAAAGCTTGTGCGGATGTCGGGAATCGATCGTTGAACGTTTCGATTTTCGGAGGGGGGTTCACCATGCGCTCGTAGGCTCGCTGTGCTTCCTCGTGTCGTAGTCGGGCCATAAGAGCTTTGAATTCTTCGGTCTATACCAACTCAGTACATTAGCGACTTATGGAAATGCATGTGGGCTGGGTGGGAGACCAACCGGTTCTGGTTTCGGTGGTGGTGGTGGAACGTAAACCTGCGAGCCACGGAGCAGTTCCTCCAAGCTATAGCCCGCATTGTGGTTGACTCGAAGCTTCTTCCAGATGTCGACAATTTGTTGGTGAGAGATGGGTTTCCCAACTGAAGGCGGATTCAGGGACGGTTCCCTGTCTGTTTGTTGATGCTCATCGTGGGCGGCATCGCCAGTGGTACCTTGCTGCATGTCTTCGGCAGACAGCATTCCATCCAGTTGCGCCAGTCCATCCACAATGGACGCCGTCATTGTAAGAAGCACCATCTTGACCGCTCCAGAGTAAGAGGTGGCATGGAGCTTTGGTTCGCAATAACGGGCTGTTATGAGCACGAGAAGAAAGATCTCGGCGATGTGCGTGAGCTGCGTTGTGCCGCGACAGTGGCTTGAGATGTGACGTCGCATGAACCAGTGCCATTGGATTGACGCCACATGTGCAATCCAGTGGACATGGGTCAGTGCTTAAGCTACCAGCCAGCACTGGTAGTGCTGCCTGTGCCTGGCAGCAGCTCAGGCCGCCAATATGCCGTACTACTCAAGTGCTGCTATTTCCAGTACCGAAGAGCCCTGGGCGTGCTTAATGCTCATCACTATCCGGCGGATTACAGACAACCAGTTCGCTGAATCAGTTCAACGTTCGCTTGAGCATTCAATGTTCGGGTCCAGCTTTTGCCTAAGAGCGACCAATAGGAGCCTCCCAGACATTAGTGACAGTCGAGGCTCCGAGGCTCTTGGGCAGTCTCGGGTGGGTTCCGGACTGACCCGTCAGAGCCGCTTTGGGACAGTAGCGCAGCAACGAAAGTTTCGACTCGGCCACGAAGAGCTCGCCCCCGATCCTTCATGTCCAGCTTGCCAGAGCCCAATTGATAGCCCTCCTGTTCTTCATCGCATCCTAAATCGACCCGGCACCATATCAATTTCATCGGAGACGCTCGAGCACCCTGCTTTTTCCCAACACAACGCCTTCTCCTACCTGCCATGCAGCTCCGGCCGGGAGCCATGGTTTTTCGCCATGCCGTGGTTCGAAGGATCACGGCTCCGAGCTGCACACAGAGTCGATGTCCCACAGTCAGTCTCGATAGTTGGAGAATACACAGATCGAGTATACACACAAGCCATAGACGAGATTCCGCATGGGCCGCGGCCGTGCAAGTTGCTTCCAACGTTGTTGGAAATGTCGTCAAAAAAGCAGCCAAGGACGGCATGACTATCGATCCATTGCGAACCGTCGCGAAGGAGATGCAATTCCTCACCGGAAACATTCGTAAGCTACTTGGCTCAGGGCACCCCTCCCTCGACCGGGTAGCCAAGTACTATACCCAAGCAGAGGGCAAGCATGTGCGCCCGCTCATTGTTCTGCTGATGAGCCGCGCGACATATCTTTGCCCCAAGAACCCACAACCTGAAACGGTACATAGCGCAAGAGCCATTGACTCGTCGATATCTCCTGTTACGATTCTTGCCGATGTCAACCCATCAGCTATGCCGCTGACTTCGAACGAACCCGAAATGAAAGATGGCAACCTAGATATTCTCCCCAGCCAGAGGCGTTTGGCCGAAATTACCGAACTCATCCATACTGCATCTCTCCTCCACGACGATGTCATTGACCATTCAGTGTCAAGGCGTGGCTCCCCGTCAGCCAATTTAGAGTTTGGCAATAAGATGGCAGTTCTAGCTGGCGACTTTCTTCTCGGCCGCGCTTCAGTTGCGCTGGCCAGACTAAGGCACGTCGAAGTAGTGGAGCTGTTGGCCACGGTAATTGCCAATCTCGTCGAGGGAGAGTTTATGCAGCTGAAGAACACGGAACGGGACGAGCGAAGCCCCAAATATTCCGAGGAGACGTTGAGCTATTATTTGCAAAAGACATATCTCAAGACAGCCAGCTTAATTTCCAAGTCATGCCGCGCGGCTGCCTTGCTTGGTAATGCAGACGCGACTACAGTTGACGCAGCTTATTCGTACGGCCGAAACTTGGGTCTTGCGTTCCAGCTTGTCGACGACATGCTCGACTATACTCGAAGCGGGAAGGATCTGGGGAAGCCCGCGGGCGCAGATCTGGAACTGGGCTTGGCAACGGCACCGTTGTTATTTGCGTGGAAGCAGAACCCAGAACTAGGTGCTTTGGTTGGTCGCAAGTTTGAGCGCGAGGGTGACGTGGAGAAGGTAAACAGCATGAACATCTGCATGGTCTCTTTTCCTGAGATGATCTTGACTAACATATTCCATCCTAGGCCCGCGACCTAGTTTTGAAGAGCGACGGCATTGAGCAAACCAGAGCGCTGGCGCAGGACTATTCTGAGAAGGCCATCGCAGCAATTGCGGACTTTCCCGAGAGCGAAGCCAAAGACGGCCTGATTGAGATGGCGCAAAAAACAATTAAGCGACAGAAATAAATACGCTGTAATACGCGTGACTGGATATATGCAAAGGGATGAAAGGATAGAAGTAGACCCTTTTATTATGTAGGATTACTGTACTTGGTATGGGGGATATAAACTCACAGGTAACTTTGGGCTGTCAAGCACAAAGCTTAGGGGGAAAATATACAGCAAGACAAGGCCTGGATGGAAGGTGTGGAGATGGAGATTAAACAATGGGTTTATGTTCATGATCCGGATGCATATAGAACGGCAAGGCAAGAGGGCGGTACTGTTCACTTTTGTTATCTTGAACATGATAGTGGGTAGGAATCGGCGAAAAGGCATGAATTGTCATAGACATATCCACTCTAATTTTTTGACGGCGTAGGAATTTTACAGGCAGTCAAGTTCTGTTTAACACTGGCTTGTGGTTGTTGGAATGTGTGTTGGTCGTGTCGTTGTGAAGGTTACCGGCTGGTATTTTTTCCCTCTCTGGACGGACTATTGTTCGTGAGGAAGTGCCAGCACAAAAAGAGGATTAAAATTTAAGAAAGGTAGCCGATCTAGAAATTCTCGTACACAATACAAATAATAGCGACATTGTTTTTCACAAGCTTCATTGTTCATCGGAATATAAGTGCATAATAGTGTTACCCTACATCGGGGAGATGTCTTGCGCAACACGATTAGGGATAGGAGTTAGGGTCTTGGGATGAGTAGGTTAAGTTAGAAAAGTGAAGCTAGTATCGCCAGATGAGTAGTGCGCGCTAGTATCATTTCATTTACATACTCCGTACAGCCTCAGTGATATAGTACCGTTGAATGGTCAGTACAATGGATTCAATGTTGGCTTAAAGCGCTGCACATGCGGTGGTGGGTTCAATGTTTTGTTAAAATGCCTTCAATGTCCCCCCGTCCTCTCTGTTGCTTCGGCACCCCGCTCCAGCCTGGTGTTGAAAATGGCCCCCCACGCTGCGGGAGGGAGCACGTTCGACGATCTGAATTAAAATAATACCTGCGCGTGACAATGATGACGTATATTGTCAAACCTAGCAGATAGATGAATAAATCTTATCTCCACTTTCACGCAGATAATTAATCCTCGTGCTTGCACCTGCATTTTACTCGTTGCGACTTTGACGGCCTGTACGACGACTCCATTATCACACGCGTTATTCCCGCACCTGTTAGTTTATTCGACATGTGAAAAAAAACCTAGGCATAGACGAGGAGATGAAGGAGGCTGGTGATATGATGTATTAGACAGCTTATATAAAGAGTTGGAATTTTTAGCATCCTCTCTACCCCGTATATAAAAAATATGCCATTACTTAGCGGAAGTAGTTTCTATAAAGGGTTAGGGTTACTTGCGGGTTCTCGTCTCCATTCTTCACGTTAGGGTGAGTTTATTTGCTTTAGGGAACCCGATAAGTCCCCATAAAAGTTATTCACAATGGCATTCAGAGGAGTGGGGGTACATGGTCGCTGTCCACTTGGAAAGGAAAACCCCTGATGCACGTGACGGCTAGCGTAGCACTCATCGACCCGGACCGTGATAGGCCGGCCATGTCCGGGTTGCACAACATTTGAGGCTCTTAGTCTTCGCCCACCACTTGCCCCACCAGGGCTCGCGGAATGAATGGCAAATAGCAAGTGCAGTGCTTCACAATGAACTGAGACAACTCAAACCTTTATTGTAGAACATGCGGATAAAACCGGCTTGCGGGTATGACGAACTTGGGGTTACTCAAACATCGATTTATTTGTATTACACGTACTTGTGACACCGGATGAGAGAATTTTCATTAAAATGCTGCATGGCTGTTGTTTCCCGAACGGCCATGTCTCGTGCCGCACCTTCCTCTCCTGACTCGGAGTCCTGACCGGCGCCGGCCGATGAATAATAGCCGCAGAGACTATCTTAGCCCAAACCGCCCGAGGACCAGATCACCTGGCCCTTCTCCCCTTCATTTATATCCCCATCCGCTTTCGTCGTCCAACTGTTCATATCCCAGTGTCTCTCGGCTCATCCACTGCCTTGCTGCGCAGATTTACAGCCACTTTCCAGTCTCTTAGTTGGCCGAACCCCCACCATGACGGTTGGCAAGTCGCAGGCCCCCTTCACTGTCATCGTGTCAAGCCGAGCCGTCATCCCCCAGGCTGATGGCTCGCTGACTGTCTCACCGGCGACTATTTGCATTTCACTAGCTACAGGGAAGATCGTGTCCGTAACGCCAGAAATCGTCCCCCAGACAAGTTTCCCCACGGACACGGCATATGTGGACCACTCGCCCATGCTGTTACTTCCCGGCCTGGTGGATGCCCATGTGCATCTAAATGAGCCAGGCCGTACGGAATGGGAAGGCTTTTGGACCGGTACCCGGGCCGCAGCCAGCGGTGGCGTGACAACCGTGGTTGACATGCCCTTGAATGCCATCCCTCCCACGACTACGGTTGCGGGATTCAAGGAGAAGCTTGCGGCTGCCCATGGCCAGCTGTGGGTGGACGTAGGCTTCTATGGAGGCGTGATTCCTGGCAATGCCCATGAGTTGAAGCCTCTTGTTGAAATGGGTGTAAGAGGCTTCAAGGGATTTTTGATTGAATCCGGCGTAAGTTTGTTCTCAAGTTGAAGGAAACCTCAAAGCACTGACTGTGGTGAACCAGGTGGATGAGTTCCCGGCTATTACCCCCAAGGATATGGCTCTGGCAATGGAAACACTCAAGGATAGCGCCACAACTCTCATGTTCCATGCAGAAATGGAGCCATGCGCTGGCCATACCAACGGCAGTACAAATGGTCATGCCAATGGCGACACCAATGGACATACGAATGGACATACGAATGGACATACGAATGGACACATGAATGGACACACGAATGGACACACGAATGGTCATACCAATGGTCATGCATCACCAAGTGATGTTACGACCTATCAGACTTTCCTTGACTCCAGACCCCCGACCTTTGAAACCACTGCAGTCCAGGAGATTCTGTCTGCAGCACATATTGCACCTTCCTTAAACTTACACATCGTCCATCTCTCTGCCACCCAGTGCATCCCCCTCCTCAAGGAAGCTCGGGCAAACGGCGTCAACATTACCGCAGAAACCTGCTTTCACTACCTGGGACTTTCATCAGAGGAAATTGCAAACGGAGACACAAGACACAAATGCTGTCCGCCTATCCGAGAGGGCCGAAACCGCGATGGCCTGTGGGAGGAGCTTGTCGCCAAAGACTCGTGCATCAAGACTGTCGTCTCGGACCACTCTCCTTGCACACCGGAACTCAAACTGCTTCCAAAACAACTTTGGTCGGCTACGGAGCCATACCCGGTGCAGAAGAAGGACAAAGAAGCTGGTGATTTCATGGCCGCATGGGGTGGAATTTCGTCTGTTGGTCTCGGCTTGCCAATCATCCACTCAACCGCCAAGCAGCGCAGCAAGACTTGCAAAGCCCCGGCCATCACTGACATTGTTCGACTCTGCTGCCAAGCCACAGCTGAACAAGTTGGTCTCTCACACCGCAAGGGCTCAATAAAGGTTGGCATGGACGCAGATATTTGTGTCTTTGACGATGCTGAAGTGTGGACGTTTTCACAGGGTGATATGCGCTGGAAGAACAGGTGTTCGCCATGGGAGGGGCACGAGTTTACGGGTAGAGTCAAGGAGACCTGGCTGCGAGGACGAAAGATTTTTGAATTGGGTGCGCCGCATGGTGGGTTTGTAGAAATCAAGCCTGCCGGACAGAGCATCACCGAGCGACGGACGGTGTGATGCACCTGCGTAGAATATAGTCGGAAAAAATACAGTTGGGATGTCAAGGAATGGGACCAAGATATGAATAATCTAGACATGCAGCGAGATCAATTTGGATATATAGTTTTCATCATAGTAATTTTCTGCACTGGTATGCTGAGTCGTTGAATGAAACGCGCACACCGTTGGTCGGCGCAAAAAGTCTACCAAGGTACTAGGTAGGTACCCTAAAGGGTTACAAGTACTCGTAGGCAGCTAATAAAACTACAAGATTTTTTGATGTATGAATGAAATATATACAAAGGTGAAAATTAAAAATTCAGTTTAAAAATATATATATTCCAATTTTGATAATACATTTATCTAGTCTAAAGTGATAGAGAACCCAAATCTACACTACAACCTAAGTTGCGGGTTATCTTCAATGTTAGGACGCAGTTGCCAGTTAGCACCGTTGGGTAGCAACTGGTCGTCCGTACGCTGCAACTATGCCCGTGGGGTAAATTGGGTTATTTTGAACGTTATCTCAACTTACCCATAGCCGGGTGCCCACGGGTCTTTACACCAGACACCACACGCAACCGATCATGGGAAGTATAGAAACCACCAGACTGGATCCAGCATGCTAGCATATAAATAAAAATAAGCCTCATCGGAATATCTGCGGTCATAGATTAGCTGGGAGATCGTCAGACTGAAGTTAACTTCAATCCTACGGATGCCTATCTGAAGGTCGTGTGTTCGAGTCACACTGACCGCACATTTTTTTGCATTTATTTTTCTTGTATTGTCGGCGACCCTTGGCTTTACTCATAGCGCATTTCTCAGTCTTCTTTTTTGAACTGCTTTATTCATCTTCCAGAACAAGGGGTGACAGAGACGCCGTCCTCTGTTTAGGTCGGTCCGAGGCAGCTCTTCGCTTTCAAACCGTTCACGAGAATCCGGACTCGAGCAAATGGCCGGGATTCCGCTTGGCAATGTATTCACCCGTGGTCTTGGATTATTTTATGGAGTCTTCATGGTCTGATATTAATGATTTAAAAAGGGTTTTTATTCGGCCTATTCTCGCAGCCTCCCGGGTGTACGTTGCAAGAGTCGTTCAATGAGGGCCTCAAATCTAGGAAGGATTAGTACAGCACATCTATCGAGAGAGAAATGTAATAGAATACTGGCTCTAAAAAGTATCTTGAGTAACTTTGAAAGGAGAACCAGGGAGTATGACTTTTAAGAGAATGAAATGGCTAGAGGTGGGCGACCCTTTATAATTGGCATCA